TTTCAAAAATGTTTTTATTGAATATTAAACAATTACAAGTTAGACATTATAACGTAAGTTAGACATTTAGTCAAAGCACAATTACAGGTTAAATATAATAATAATAAAGATGTCTTAAATAGAAGCCCACATGGAGGCAGGTTAAGGTCCCAGATGCCCTTTTCTGGAAAGAAGGCAAGGGTGAGGGAAGAATGTCTTCCGTTCCACATGAGACAGTGAAGACCTGGAGGATTTACATGCTGAGAGTGATTTTCCAGGACCGAATCAATAGGGCTGTGAGGATTAGTAAAACAAATAAAACAAAGTAAAAGGCCGGGATGCTCACTTAAAAAGTTATTTCAGGAGATAGGTTTTTTTTTAAATTGTAAATAGATGCCAAATATTGTGAAATACAGGTTCAAAATTATATGAAATTCAAATTTTAATGGGTATCTTATAATTTTATGATACTTCTACAAACAAACTAAAAATGGGAGGGGATTTAACCCTCCTGCCACTGGTAGGTCACACAGACTCAAAATAATAACACCAGTAATGAACCAAAGAGTCACTTCATTGACTACTTACACAGAACATCACAATGAGAAAATACGGCTACTCAAATGCTGTTGCCAGGAAACATTCTAGGTTTCCTCAAAGCTGGTTTTGTAAATGTTTTTGAGAAACCACACTGATAAAAGTACCTTTTAAGTTTGTAAGTTTCAAAGATAGACAGTACTACCACAGGACACGATGAGCTTGAAAGGATGGCAGCGGAGCAGGCATCCTACACACACGGGGAGCTGAAACACTCAGGAATACGAAAGTACCAAGACTAGGTCTTCTAGGTCTGGGCTACTGTTCTCAGAGATTGGGTTTCTTTCTAAGTTTTCAGTTATACCTTCTGGACTTTGTCCTGAAACTTGGGAGGTGCGTGGCAATGTGGAAGGGGCGCCCCATTATCAAGGCTTGACTTCCGGTGCCCCATTACCAAGGCTTGACTTCCTTTCTTGGTGCATACTGTGAATCAACAACAGAGCTTTCAGGGTGGCTGGGGAGACGAAGGAGCAATCAATCTGTATTCTGCAGCAGGAGACACCCATTTGAAAACATGGGGAGAGGTGGAGGTGCAAAGCAGCAGAGGAAATGTGGATGAATGAAGAGTCAAATGCAATCATCTATCTCTACAGTATGAAGGCTTGAGCAAGGGGGGACAAACCCTCTGGCTGGGAGATGGATGAATGCTCATCCCATGAGCATATCTGGTCTGACGGAAGATCTAGTATCTTTAGCTCCTGATGCTTTACACTTACCACCATGGTTACATTTGAAGATGACTGAAGTTTATGTCATACTCAGATCCTATAAGGTATCACCACTCTAAGAACTGATGTATCCCCATATACACAGAACTTTCTAGGTTTTGAAATCTTTCTAGTATTTCTCCAAACCAGAAGACCTTGGAACTGAAGAATTTCTGATAGAAAATTATAAAGGACTGATTATATCAGCTCCTTTGCATGCAAGAGAGCATTCCTTATGAAATGTCCCCTCATCCATGAACTTCACTGGATGAGACACATGGAGACATACCTGACTAACACCTTTCAAATGTTAAAAAAAATGGGATTACAACTTTTATATATTAGACTATAAAAAGTTTAAAAGTTTCTGCCATAGTTAAGGCTCTCTTAGGAAGAACATTTAATTGTGTATTTCAGAATGCACAATGTATGTGAGGAATCCTCACTTCTTAGAATGTTTTGCTGTTTATCATTTTTTAAAAATCATCATAGTGCTAATGCTTATGCTTTTGGCATACAAAGTTCAGCACCTTCACCACCACCAATGTGCCCAAAACATCCAGAGGGTGTTCGTTTTTTAAGATACATTTTGCTTTCCATTGGCTACGTGTGTCCAAATCGAGTTACAATATTATCTTCACAATGACACTCCATTTTTCTCCCACTGATCTGACATCAAAGGAGTTTTATGTAAGCCTTAAATTTCTGACCCATGAAACTCATCTTGATGTCAGCACTGAATGTTCCCTGAAACTGTACCTCTCGGCAAGATCACCAGTCTACCAGAAAGCGCAGTCAGAAGGCTGTGCTTCATGGCTACTTCCCAGTGGAAACAGGGCTCAACGGGGCAGGGGGCAGAGAAATGCACATGCTGCAGTTTCAAGGGCGCTGACTGGAATCCAGAGAGCAGGGTTGAGAAAGGGCCAGGGAATGCTGTTCTCAGCCCTCTGAGTGACTGGGAGAAGTTCTGCCAAGGAGAGAGACCTAGACAACTTACTGCATTCCAGCACTGTTCTTCCAGCATTTGCAACAGGTCAATTGTTTGCATATGATAATAGAATATTAATCTATATGATTTGCCATATTCAAGCATTCTGCTGCATGTTTCAAAGCACTTCACTACTTGGAGAGCAAAGTAAATAAAGATTAAGCTCAACAGAACATAAGGATGCTATTTCATAAAAATGTCCTAATAAATATGATTTGTTCTACTTATGTTGTTGGAAGAACCAAAATTCCAAACTCCAGGAAGGAAAGGTACCTAAGTATCTGGTTGCACTGTACTGTTATGCTTAGAATGGAAATTCTGGGCCCGACAGTTGTCATTTGTTAATAAAGTGGCAAAATTTTCTGAGCAGAACACCAGAGGGTCTAACACCCAGTTCTGGTTGTGATGCGGACATAGAGAGACACTGTCTCCTAGTCTTTTAGAAGACTCAAGATAAAGAAAAAAGGAAAAGGGAAGGGTAAAAGGTAACTGTTGGAGCTAATTAAAATGTCAAACAAGCAATCTGGGGAAAAAGGAAGGAGATCAAGTACAAGGACTTCTAGAGAACTTCATTCATGCTGGAGTCAGGCACTCATCTGGCTGACCAGTACCACGTAGACTAGAAGCATCAGATCTAGAAGCTTTTGGAGAATTGTGGTAAAACTGATGGAGGCACTTGGATTTTCCTTTCCAACTATTTGACAAGCAGGGGCTATTTCAGGGGTGGTCAGATTGGAAGTCCTAGATTTGCTACTATTTCTTTTATGAAGTATAGAGACGAAAAAATATTAAAGAAGTCCAGCCTCATTGAATGCCATGCTTTCATATTCCAAAGGATGCTTTAGGCTGTGATAGAAGGAAATGCCAAATGTGGCCAACTTTTTTGGGTGCACTCATGATGACCTTTGGTTTTCAAATTCTAAAAAATGTAGTTGGCTCCTATGAGCAATCAACTAATCCATTCTCTTTAGCAGATGAATAATATATATATATATATTATATGTGTATACATGTATACACACACACACAACACATACATCCTTTCAAGAACTACTATTTGCATCATTACAAGTGAAGACACATTGCAAGTATCTTCCTTACACGGTACCTTCACTTGGCACACAGAACATTAGACATGTAACATTGGCAGTTTAAATATTGGACCACAGTTTAACTTCTGAAGTGTAAGGCCGAAGTTTAAACTGGTACATATATTAATTGAATTAGAATGATGGAAACAATATCAAACCACAGTAGGATAGTGGCTTTATCTTTTGAATGGAAGCTATAAAAGCTTTTCTTTTTAAAAAATCTATACCATAATAACCCTTTATTTAATCAAAAATCACAGCTGTGTTTACCAGTTTAAACTATGTCTAAGTGGGGAGACGGTAACACACTTTCACAGTTAGGGAACTACAGGGGTGCCATCCCCTTCACACACAGTTACCCACAGCAACAGAGGAAGAAAAGAAAGCCCTCTCAATGGGTATCAAACTTCCAAGCGTCATGTGGAATTCTACTCTAATAAACAAGTAGGCCAGACACAAACACCCAGCTTGGGTCACTAAAACTTCAATAGAAGCAACAACTGAGGCTAATTTTTGATGTAATTTTGAGGACCCATGCAAGATTCAGCTACAAAACTCAAACTAGCTCGAATGTCTAGATTCTAGCATCGGGCAGAAGTCAAAAGGAAAGCAAAAGTTTACTGTAAGAGCCTATTCAAGAATTTTTTTCATGCAGTCATTTCTAAATAAGCCGAATCAATCTGCATTTAAAAAATAGACTTTTTTTAGGACTGCAAGTTGGAGTGGCAAATTTGAGCCATTCTTTTTTAATACCCCATTTATATTATTTTTGCTTAAAGCTCATTAAGATGCACAGCATATCAAAGATGCACAGCATATCAAAGTTAAAATTAATGCACTCAATTTGGTATTTAGTTAAGGTGAAAAGGGCAACTTAAACTGTGATAATTTCTTACAAGTGTCAATGTACACTTGGAAAATGGAAAAAAAACAAGCAAAACAAAATAGTAATTTCATGAGGAAACTATTTCTCCATCTTCATTTAAAAAATAACTGAAAGAGCTTTGGTTTAAGTTTTTATTCTCCTTGTTTAGTAAGAAGGTTGAAGAAATGGTTCAAAGAATGTAGTGCAGGGACCTATGAAAACTCTTGAAGCAGCTCACTCAAAATAAACCCCAACTCTGGGGTAAACACAAAGTTCTTGCATTTGTGTGTCACGAGTCACTAAATGATCTGAATCCTAGTTTTCTACACCAGGGAACCAATAAAACAATATGGTGAGTCGCAAAAATACAGTGACTCAAATGAAGCACGAAAATATCACTGAATTTGGAAATAAGGCAGCGAATTCTGTGGGTGACCATTCCAGTGGGAGGATTCAGTGAAGTTCTTTGTCCTTTGAGGAATCCGTTTCTGCTGCGAATGCTGGAGGCTCAGGCTCCCCCTAAGTCTCTAAGCTGCTTCTCTGCGGAAGCCCTGTGGCATGAGAGCCCCATGCCTCCCCCTTCCCTGCTGGTGCTCTGATTCCTGCACTGCCTGGTCCCTTGGCGGGAGGCTGGCACTAGCGAGAGCAAGTGGCCCTCCTCAGGGCTGGCTTTCTTCGGCTTGGAGCTCGGAAATCAGGTTGCTGGTCATGCCTTTCTCGTGTATGACTGGCCAACACAGAGAAGGAAGCCAAAACTTGACGTTTTTCTATTTCATCTCAATTTATGTCGATGACACACTACAAATAACAAAATAAATCACGAAAAAGTGGAAACAAAATCTTGCTCAGCCAGGGCTGAGCTTGGGCTGCATTGCTAATGATTTTCGTCACCATGACTTTGTGCAAAATATCCTCAAGAAGACTCTGGCTCATTTTCAAAGTAAGCATGTGTGCATGCATACATGCATGGGTGTGCACACACAAAGATGGGGAAAAAAGGCAACTGCATGTTTAGAAAAATGAAATGTAAGTCTGTCATATGTGTATACTTGTTATTTACATGTGTCATATGTAACAAAGTAAATGTAGTGTGTGAACTGTGAATGTTTGGTAGGAGTATTGGTTATGTTTGCTTTTTTACTATTTCCAAGTCTAGCTCAAAGCAATCTTGTTTTAGAAACCGATGACTGCAATGAAAATGAGCCTGAGATATGTTGAAAGGCCACCCCTGTAAACATTTCCTCAAAGGGAACAGTAGCAATTGAGTATGTATCAATTACTCATACTATATCCATCACTATAGCAATGCTTTATAAAAGACGAACAGCTTATTTCTAGGCTGTTGGGGATTTATGGAACATTGATTTTGTTGGAAACAATTCACTGTAGTTCAGTCCCAGGCTTAAATCTGATCTGGCCTTTACCAGTGGGCATTCACTAGGTCTTCTGCTCAGCGGCTGCTGCAGTTTGTGAAGGAGCTTCTGGCTTCATGATCTGGTATGTGATGAGATATTCTGGATATGCCTGAAAAGGACAGGAAGAAACACAAATCACCTTCCTGGTACATCAATATTCAAGATTTCCTTAAAAGCCTCAAATGCTTTTGGTTCTAACAGAAACTCTACATACACCTTAAAGTCAAGGGATAGATATCGGAACTGCAATAAAAAATACATGCATAATTAAAAGAATTTATAAAAGGAAAAAAATTTATTAAAGTACTGCTTATTATTTAAAGTGCAGAAACTGATGGGTGGTAAGATTTACTGATTTTTTTTTTAATTTTTGGGTCATACCCGGCGATGCTCAGGGGTTACTCCTGGCTCTGCACTCAGGAATCACCCCTGGCAGTGCTCAGGGGACCATATGGGATGCTGGGAATCGAACCTGGGTTGGCTGCGTGCAAGGCAAACGCCCTACCCGCTGCGCTATCACTCTAGCCCCAATTTACTGAATTTTTATTTATTATACTTTATTACTATTATTTATTCTTATTCTTCTTAGTGGGCTGGAGCGATAGCACAGTGGGTAAGGCATTTGCCTTGCAAGCGGCCAATATGGCCGACCCAAGTTCGATTCCTCCACCCCTCTCAGAGAGTCTGGCAAGCTACTGAGAGTATCTCGCCCGCACGGCAAAGCCTGGCAAGCTCCCCATGATGTATTCTATATGCCAAACACAGTAACAACAGGTCTCACGATGGAGATGTTACTGGGCCTACTCGAGCAAATCGATGAATAACAGGAGGACCATCATTCTTCTTAGTATTTTCTTAGATTTTTGGGTCACAACCAGTGATGCTCAGGGGTTACTCCTGGTTTTGCACTCAGGAGTTACTCTTGGTGGTACTTGGGGAACCATAAGGAATGCTAGGGGTTGAACCCAGGTCAGCTGTGTGCAAGGTAACTGTCCGACCTGCTCTGGCGTTGATTTAATGAATTTTTTAAAAATAATTTTAGACCTCTTATCATAGCAGCAGAAACTATTACATGGCTGAGTCTCAGCTCTCCTCACCTATAAAACAGAATTACAACAATGAAGATAATATTAACGCTCTAGACTGTTGTAAGAGGGTCATGTGTAATATTAATATTATTGTCATGCATTAAATTCTAGTTCCTCCTGGTATCTCAGCAAGAATAAAAAAATACTACCAAGTTTTGTTTTGAATAAACAAAAATTTTGTTTTGACACACACACACACACACACACACACACACACACACACACACACCAGGCCACACCACATCTGGCAGTGCTTGGGAAAGACTAGGATTTATATCCGGTAGTGCTTGGAATAATATTATATGATTTGAAAGCTGTCATTGTCTCTATACATATATGAATTACACTCTTTTCCAAAGTTCCAGTGTGTTCTTGCTTTGATGGAAAGGTGTCAGGGTCTACATCTTTAATTTTGTGATGAATTAATTTTGCGAGGCTCCCAAGCAGAACTGAGGGGAGCAGACACGAATCCTGGAGACAGACTCTGGCTGCAGGTGGGTCCGCTTCAGTTCTTGGCCAGAAATGCCAGTGGAGGCGCTCAGGGCTCACCAGGCTGGCCTTGGGCATGCCAGGCAGGGGCTCCAGTCCTTGGAGCTGTTTCTCGGCTCTAGTTTTCATCTTTATTAACCAAGACCAAGAAGCCACATCTCTCTGAACTTTCCAATGAAGTTTCTTTAGCCTAATGGGTTGAGTTTTATTATAGTTTGAAAAAAACTCTTACACAATTTTTAAATGTTTAGTTATTAAAAAATGCCTGATTAGCTATTTACTGCTAATGTCAGAGCTGGGTATAAAAAAAAAAATCTAGGAATACTTTAAACCAGCGTTCTTTCACCTTTTTACATCTATTAACTGGTACCTGTCCTGCACACAGGTCCAAGGACCAGCAGTTATAACCAAGGTGGTAGATGAGTGATTTTATGCCTCCCCATTAGCACTTCCTGACTAGCACTGATCTGTGGACTGGTGATTGGAGGGAGACCCCTCCTATAAAGACTGATGGAAAGGATGGAAATGCTGATTTGGTTAACCAGATGATATTTAACGGTCAAGCTGCTTACTTATTCATCGCAAATATAGACCCAAAAGAGTCCTCATTAAACAATGTGAATCAGTTCTTTGAAACTGAAATTAAAGGACTGATTTACAAAAAAGCCAGGACCAGGGTGAGAGGTGTACAATGGACAGGGTGCCTGCCCTGCATGTGGATAAGCACTACATCTGAGGACCAGCAGCGTGATCCCTGAGCACAAAGCCAAAGTCCTGAGCCCTAATGGCTGATGTGCAACCAAACCAAACCAAGACCTTGAATGATGTTGCTTCCATTGACCAGAGTTCTCTTTCATCTGGTCAATGTTGCAATTAAACAGAACTGAATGAAATTTATCTGTAACATACTTTTGTTACGTTAAGCATCTTCTATGTTCAAAGAGCACCATGAATACTATTCCTCCGGTGTGACATGGGCTCTATATCAAAAAAGTACCATCTTGTTTGGAAGGAAAAATACAGATTAAAAAAAAAATTGAAAATAACCCAAGCTGGCGAGTGCCAAGTGTCAAAAATGAGCGTGAAGCACACTCCTACATTTCCGTGTGTCCCAACGAAATGTAACGCCTAGGATACTTGGCATCACACCTTCCTTCTGCTTGTGGGAAAGCTGTTTAAGTAAAGGAGTTGGTAATGCCAGTGTATGAATGTTGGTAGCATAGCTATTTAAGGAGATCCTGACATGCCTAAGTTTGAGTCAGGTACCTATATTCTAAGACCACAATGGTATAAATTATTTAAAGACCCTTATCTGAGTGTTCTTTGCTCATAATGAATAGGCTAACTTATTTACTACAGCAGAAATACTGATCAATCACATAAAAGCCCAGATAGAGTTAAAGCAAGGAAATTCTCCCCTAGCCCCTTCTTTTTTTGTTCCTGTTTTGGCCCACACCCAGCAGTGCTCAGGGATCACTCATTGCCGGGCTTGGGGGACTATATGGGGTGCCAGGGATTGAATCTGGGTTGGCTGCATGCAAGGCAAGCATGCTACCCACTGTTCTGTATCTCTCTGGTCCTAAAGCAAAAACTTTCTTAAGCTGCAGGACTACAATGGCCCAGGGAAGACCAACAAATAATAAAATTCTTATGTCACATAATTTTAAAATTATTTAATTTTAGTGAGGCAAATACTTTTTTATTTAAAGAAATCTACTCAGAGAAGTGTAAGGAGGGTGAAAGAGAGATATGTATAAGAGAGAACACGGACTTCTCCTGAGTGGAAAAAAGCATAAAAGTCACTTTAAAGACATGCTTAACAAATGTATAAACATATTCATATTCATGTGTGCTTATGTAGACACAAGCCCACGTACACGTATATTCAAACGTATACAAACATTAGAAACTACGAGTTAACACCCACTTCTGATTTCATTCCATCCCTATAATTTTCCTTAGCCCCCACTTCCATATGTGTCCCTTCTCTCGCAGCCTAGAACAGAAATCAACACATCAATCAAATCAATTCCTTTACTCATACTACACCATACTGAACATTAACTATATTGAACATAACTGATCATTTCCTTATATCTGCTACCCCTGCTCTCCATAGTGCCCAGTCCAAGACTAAGAGCATGCAAGAAAACACTGTAATACTAGCCTCAGAGGTTACTTTAGGCACGAAAGGCCAGGAAGCAGGAGTTTAGAGCAGCAGACCACCAGAACAAGAGATTCTCTGCTCTTACCCCTCAGCTCCCTTTTGTTCACACTGTTCCATGGCTCAGGGGACACCAAAGTGTTCTGTATGCAGAGCTGATATCAAAGATATCTGAGATCTTTATTCTGACCTAAGTCAGTTACTGTTTATCAGACTATGGGGTTGCTATTCCGCTAAGCGACTTTTGTTAACTCGTACATGGTTTCCAAAGTCTCATGATGTACTGAGTAAAGCGGCAAAGCCTGTCTGATGAACAGCATACCTGTTCGCCTCTATAGATGACATATTCCGCGTACGCCAGCCCATTCACACTCGGCCTCCCAATCACAGAGTGATGTCCAGGCGGGGCATGGGCCATTTTCATGGTGCTGAATTGCAGAAAGGATTTTCCCAGGGTCACTCTACAGAAAAGCATTTGTCTGAAAGAAAAAGGAAGGCACAGATTTTTTTTTTTGGTGCTTTTTTTTTCTAAGCTTTGTTAGTGAAACACCATGAGATACAGTTGTAGACTTACACATTTTTGTGCGTGGGTTTCAATTATACAATGATCGAGTACCCATCCCTCCACCAGTGCCCATTTTCTACCACCATTGATCCCAGTATCCTTCCCACCCCCCCATCTCACCCTGCCTCTGTGGCAGGGCATTCCCTTTTGTTCTCTCTCTCCTTTTGGGTGCTGTGGTTTGCATTGAGTGGCAATCATGATCGGTCTATAATCTACTTTCAGTATGCATCTCCCATCCTGGGAGGATCCTCCCAACACCTTTATTTGGTGCTCCCTTCTCTGAGCTGCTTTTCCCCTAGCATGTGCGGCTGGCCTCCAAGACATGGGTGAACCTCCTGGTACTTATCTTGACTACTCTTAGGTGTTAGTCTCCTATTTTGTTACTTTATGTTCCCCAGATGAATGCAATCTTTCTATGTCTGTCCCTCTCTTTCTGACTCATTTCGGTTAGCATGATACTTTCCATGCAGTACCATTTATATGTAAATTTCATGACTTCATCTTTTCTAACAGCTACATAGTACTCCATTGTGTAGATGTACCAAAGTTTCTTGAACCAGTCATCTATTCTCGGGCACTCAAGTTTTTTCCAGATTCTGGCTATTGTAAAGAGTGCTACAATGAACAAACAAGTGCAGATGTCACTTCGACTATACTTTTTTGCCCCTCTGGGATATATTCCCAGGAGTGGTATTGCTGGGTCAAATGGGAGCTCAATTTCTAATTTTTTGAGAATCGTCCATACTGTTTTCCAAAAGGGCTGAACCAGTTGGCATTCCAACCAGCAGTGAAGAAGGGTCCCTTTCTCGCCACATCCACTCCAGCACCAGTTGTTTTGTTCTTGTGGATGTGGGCCAGTCTCTGTGGTGTGAAATGATATCTCATTGTGGTTTTGATCTGCATCTCCCTGATGATTAATGTAAAGTAAAGTAAAAGTAAAGGCCCTCCCGTTGATCATCAATTTGCTCAAGCGGGCCCAGTAACGTCTCCATTGGAGACTTTGTTGTTACTGTGTCTGGCATATCGAATACTCTCGGTAGCTTGCCAGGCTCTCTGAGAGGGGCGGAAGAATCGAACTTGGGTTGGCCATGTTGGCCGCTTGTAAGGCGAACGCCCTACCCGTTGTGCTATCGCTCCAGCCCTGAATTCCCTGTATGATGATTAATGATGTGGAGCATTTTCTCATGTGCCTTTTAGCCATTCGGATTTCTTCTTTGAGAAAGTTTCTGCTTATTTCGTCGCCCCATTTTTTGATGGGGTTGGATGATTTTTTCTTGTGGAGTTCAACCAGTACTTTGTATATCCTTGATATCAACCTCTACTACTTCCACTACCCAGCCGTCGCCACACTTCAGGACGCTTTCCGGACCCGCGCGAAGCGGCCGCGCGACACATCATAAGACACTAAATACCCATCTTCTGGAATTGTCGTACCGTATTTGATAGGGTTCAAATATGGTAACACCTACAAGGGTGATTAGAGGTCGCCCCAAAAGCCTCTATCCCTCTCAGAAAGACTGGCAAGCTACTGAGAGTATTCCGCCCGCACGGAAGAGCCTGGCAAGCTATCCGTTGTGTATTCGATATGCCAAAACTCTGCCTACAGCTCTGCCTTTATTCCAGTACCATGCTGTTTTAATTATTACTGCTTTGTAGTAGAGTTTGAAGTTAGGGAAGTTGATTCCTCCCATTTTCTTTTTCCCAAGAATTATTTTAGCTATTCATGGGGGCTTATTGTTCCATATGAATTTCAGGAGTGTTTGCTCCATTTCTTTGAAGAATGTCATGGGTATCCTTATAGGGATTGCATTGAATTTATACAGTGCTTTCAGTAGTATTGTCATTTTGACAATGTTAATTCTCCCGACCCATGAGCAGGGGATATCTTTCCATTTTCTTATGTCCTCTTTTATTTCCTGAAGTAGCGTTTTGTAGTTTTCTTTGTACAGGTCCTTTACTTTCTCAGTTAAGCTGATTCCTAGGTACTTGATTTTTCTGGGGCACAATTGTGAACAGGATCGTTTTTTTCATGTCACTTTTTTCTCTCTCATTATTTGCGTACTTCTCCTTCTGTGCCACCCTGTCTGCCCCACCCAGGCTTCCCCAGGACTAGCACTTGCCTGGAAAGGCAAATCTATCAGGCTTTGCTTTAGGCATTTTTCAAGGAAATCCTAGTTAGGATTGTGTGTGTGTGTGTGTGTGTGTGTGTGTGTGTGTGTGTGTGTGTATGTGTGATAATGTGTGTGTGATTTTGTGTGTGTCCCCAAACCCAGCAGTGCTCTTGGCTGACTTCTGGTTTCTAGGGATCACCCTAACAGGGCTCTGGAGACCACAGAGGATGTTGGAGATTGAACCTCAGTCCATCAAGGTAAGCGACTATCCTGCTGTACCATCACTTCACCCCAGTGGTGCTCAGATTTTATTCCTGGCTCGGTGTTCAGGGATCATCTAGGCGGGCTTGGGGGACAGTATGGAGTGCCAGGGATCGAACCCTACGTGCTGTAATATCATAAAGGCCTGTTCTGTGTGTCTAATTTTAATGAGCAATGATGGCAACCCTCCAACTAGGTTAACTTAAAAAAAATTTAAAAATAAAAAATCTGAGTTTTCATTAGGTTTGCTTTTATTGCTTATTTAGGATTTAGATCTGAAGTACCAAAATTCTGATGTTACATATCCTGGGGGGATTTTTGTGTGTTACTAACAAGAACTGACATAAAAAGATATTTCCTTCAGGATATATTATCTCCATCTTGAAAGTGCTGAGGGGTACACATTTTTCGTAATATAACCAAGTGAGAAGTTTTAGGGTCAACAACTATATCAAATTTCCCAGTCAGATGAATCTTCAACTTCAGAAATTTCAACTGAACTACAGGTTATTTTATTAACCTAACTTTGCAACAATAATGCATCTGGTTAATTTAAAAGAAATGCAATCAATCACAATTTATGTAAGGTACAATTCTTCTCTACTGTTTCTCACTGGCAAGGAAGGGAATTTATTTCATTGACTAAAGAGAATATCCTATTATTCTCTTGAATTTCCGAGTTTTAATATCCTATTTAAAAAGCCAATATTCACTTAATAATCACCATGAAATCAATAATCCGAATCATACATGTCTAGGCTATTACATGGTCTTAGAACATCATGAAGCAACATCATGAGTGAATTTAAGGTTCTACATGTTTATAACAGCTGGGACTTAGCTTAAATAAGGCCAGAGTGCCTTTTGCTCTACAGAATAAATTCCCAACTTTTTCTTATTCAGATTCTGAAATAAGAAAAATGAAGGTAGGGCAGAAAGCCATGATGGAGGGCATGTGCACTGTAACCCTGACTGGGTGACACGTGTTGAGTTGTCACCATCATGGTTACTGTTATTGGCATATCAGCTATGCCGAGCAAGGGCTACATTGGTCTGATTCATTAAGAGTAAAAGGGAGGGTAACACATGATTTCTATGGAAATAAATTTGGCTCGTGGATTCAAAGCAGCAGCCATGACGTGAAAACAGGCAGCTTACCTGTGACATATGTAACAGGATCGATCTTTGTGCGTGGGGCAGCCCGTTCCTCCTCCAATCCCATAAACGTATTGATTGCTTTTAGATGAATTTTCAGCAAAATAAATCCCAGCGCCAAACATGCCTCCTATGTATGCATGCCGCTCATCAAACCCTTTATGAATAATGGCATTGATGAAAGGAGAACCTGAAAACATGAAAAGTGAAGACAGTTTTGAACACTTTTTCAGAATCTCAATTAGCCACAGACAATTCACACTTGGAAGATTAATATTAAACAACTGCAATGCACACATAAAAAATCATTTTATGAGATGGTTTTTACACATAACAACACATACTAGAATATTGTCAGGGACCTGAAAGTTTATTAAGCAAGGATGTTACATAGAGTCTGCAGATGGTTTTAGGTTTTGCAATACTAAAGTCCATGTATAAAGTTTTGAAAATAGAGATTACATCCAAACTTACTTTAAGCAAGCAAAGATAGCACTGTATAGCACTGTCCTCCCGTTGTTCACCGATTTGCTCGAGCGGGCCCAGTAACGTCTCCATTTTGAGACTTGCTGTCACTGTGTTTGGCATATCGAATATGTCATGGATAGCTTGCCAGGCTTTGAAGTGCAGGCGAATACTGAGATACTCTCAGTAGCGTGCCCAGATAGTTCAATAAAATACAATTAAGTAATTCACTATCTGTGATGACTTGCAATTTAAATTATGAAACAATTTCAAATAAATTATTTTCATTGTTCATGCTTTGGAAAGTCCATATTAACGTGTAATGCTTCATTTATTTATTTATTTATTTTTGGCTCGCCTCACAGAAAGGATCTTCAGGTGCAGACGAGCAATGAAGTAAAACAGATTTTATTTGGAGGTTTTAAGGAAAGGAAAGGGGAAGGAGAGAGAGAGAGAAGAGAAAGAGGAGAGAAGAGAAAGGAGAGAGGAGAGAGAAGGGAGGGGGAGTGTGCTTGAGAATGCAGGCTTCTCCAAAGGCAGAGAGAGCCCCAGTACACACACCCTAAGTTAGATATGAAAGCATGAAAGTTCACATCACAGGAAGAGTGCAGGAGACACATGTGCTTGGCTATGTGGGCACAATCAGCACATGGGCTCAGGGCAGCACATATGCTAACATGTAATGCTTTAAAAAGCTAGAATCAACAATCAACACGTAATGTTCTGGAAAGAAACAAGCACCAAGCACTAATCTGGTGGACAGAATAAACTCTCTCTGATGAGATGACAGAAGACCACCGTCCCCTGCAGGAGCAGGCCCGTCCTTACCATGGAATAGCATGCGCTCATTGTGGTGGTTGTGGTTCTCCTCAGACACTTCTTTTTGCCTGTGACAGAATCGCTCCCTTAACTTCTTGTTGACAACTTTCTGAATCTTTTGAGGATGAGGGAGAAAGACGTTAGCGATTAGCAATGTGTGTGTGTGTTGGGGGGGGGGCTGGGTGCGGGGAAGGGATGTCTCCTACAAGCAAGTCAAGTGCTCTTGCCCCAGAAAGGGGATTTTTATGATTAAAATGAAAAGCTCATTTTTACATTAGAGAGGTTCCATTTTTTGTCTGTTTATTTTGGGGTTATACTATATCTGGCAGTGCTTAGGGCTTACTTTTGTCTCTGTGCTCAGGGATGACTTCTGGTGGGCTCAAGAATGGTCATATGGGGACTGGAGATTGAATCTGGGACAGCTGTGTGCAAGGCAAGTGCCTGATCCACTGAAATATTTCTCCTGCCTTGGAATACCCAGGCCTTTGAGATAGTAAAAACAGAAAGTACTGTCCTTACAACCCAATCTGAGGGTTAGCTGGGAGCTTTATCATCGCCTCACTGCTTCAGGCTGACTGAGCCTCTGTCAGCAGTGCTGGTGAATCCTGAGTGTCTCCATTTCTTGTAAGGTGGGATGTTGATGGGTTAAGAGATTATCTTGAAGCGAAGATAATCCAATGCAGCAGGTGACTATCCCTGACAGTTTCAAAATGTTCATTTTTTCCATTGCATGCATGTGAATTTTTGTTGTTGTTGTTATTTTTGAGACACATCCGGTACTTCTCGGGATTACTACTGGCTCTGAACTCCTGGTGGGGTCCCAGGGATCATATGAGGTTCATGGAACTGAACCTGAGTTGGCCACACGTGAGGTAAACACTCTATTTGCTGTACTATTTTGCCAGCCCATGTATATCTGATTTTGAGGCAGGCCTTGAAATCCAATTTTCACCTTGAAAATTAAAACACTTACTCGAATGACATTGTATCTATTGAAGATGCCACCAGCATTGCCTCCATCTCTATGTTCTCGGATTGTACTCTGCATCTATAGAACAAAGTGAAATGACTAGCTTTTGGAAAACAGGCCAGTTCTAAAGACATTTCTTCTTTTATTTAAACATTTCAATTTTTTATTACAGTTTTACTAATAAAGAAATTATATTATATATATTAATCAATATGATATACTATATACAGTATATAGTATAATATAAATTAATAAACTTAATGAAAAATAGTTCTGATAAGAATATAACCATATCAAATTAAGTTCTACATAGTCTCTGTATTTTTTCCTTCAGGCTGGATGCTCCTGGAACACAGGTGGCAGTGTTTGGGGGACCATTACAAGGTGTCAGGAATTGAACCCAGGCCTCCTTTGTGCAAAACATGTACATACTCCAGCCACTGACTATCTCTTGAGCCCAAATTCTACACTTTATTAATAAAAAATTACACAATGAGAAAACAAATTATCACCTTAAGCCACCTATAATACTATTTTTCAGGACTTAGGCATAACTTTGTGATTAAAACTCTTCACACTAAATTAATACTCCACTGATTGAATACTAAAAGCAATGAAATTTAAAAAAAAATTTTTTTTTGGGGGTCACACCTGGCGATGCACAGGGTTTAATTCTGGCTCTGTACTCAAGAATTACTCCTGGTAGTGCTCAGGAGACCATATGGGGTGCTGGAAATCAAACCTGGGTCGGCTGTGTGCAAGGCAAATGCTCTAGCCACTGTGCTATCGCTCCAGCTCCTCCAAATTCTACATTTTTAAAAACTTAAAATGTTAAAAAAATTTTATAGGAAAAATATTTTCTGTTTTTTCTTTAATTTGATTTTGATTTTAAAAAATTTAGCTTATGGGCTGCACTTGGCAGTGCTCAGGACTTACTCCTGGCTCTGCACTCAGGAATCACTCCTGGCAGGACTCAAGGGAACATATGGGATGCTGGGGATTGAATCTGGGTTGGCTACGTGCAAGGCAGAGCCCTACCCATTGGACTATCACTTTGGCCAAATTTTCTCTTTAACTTAGCATGTCCAAGTACACCGACAGAGACCAAAGGAAGTTGAATATAATATACAACTAAGTGGGACAACTTTCTTCTGAGTAGTATACATCATCTACTTTCCAAACAAAAAAGAATTACAATGGGAAAGTAAAGACCCAAATTGCTTAACAGAACTTAGGTCTGTAACTCCATCAGTGAAGTTATTAATCACAATTCTGACATTATTATCAGGATTTCTTAATTATTCAGAGAATGGTTGGGCAAAAGACCTAGAAAACATGATGCTTTCCTGGTATGAGCTGAAAAACTACTCTCAGGTAAAGGTGCCGAGTTCCTGGAAAGGGAATAACATAAGCACTAACTAAAGAGAAGAAACAAACAAAAATTGTTTTGGGGCCTCACCCAGCAGTGCTCAGGGCTTACTCCTGGCTCTGCACACAGGCATCACTTCTGGCGGTGCTCAGAAGATCATATGGGATGTGGAGGATCAAACTGGTTCATATGCACACAAAGCAAATACCCAACCTGCTGTTCCAACTCTCTGGCCTCTTATATGAGATTTTAACAACAAAACTTAAACATTTTCTAAGAGGATCCTTACTTGTATGACTATCAAGAAAGTTTCCAAAATCAAAAGGCCCATGTGGCCCACTCCCGGGAAACCCTAGGTTTATGATGTGAAAGCAATGTGCTTTGGTGGTAATCAACCTAGAGTTCCATTTTAGTTTTTTCTATATTCCAACACAGCATTCAAATACCTTTTTCACTCTTAGCTGAGAGACAGAGAATAACAGATGGCAAGTGATAGTAAAAAAATAAGACAAGCTTATTTCTTCTTGAAAAAACAGGTCTAGCCATACATTTCAGGATAATATAATGAAAAATGCTGACACACGTTACCTCTTCTTCTACTGACTGGTATTCCTTATCCTCTGGAGCAAGATCCAGCAAAATAGTCCCCTGATTAACACAGTGAAAAGTCAAATAAGGATTTGTGCCTGCAGGAAAGAAAAAAATGGCACACTTAAACCACATCGCTCTGGCTCTATTGTAGAGACAACTTGGTCATAAATAATTGATAATTTGGAACAAGACTGCAATCTGAATCTAATCCATAAATCTATTAAACACACAGACAAGAGAAGAAATAGAGTTTCTTGAGTACACAGAAGAAATCAGTCAGTATTTGCTGGACTGAACTCAATCAAGGAACATATATGGAGTCATGTCCGATGACGAAAAAGACACATAGATTATACTGACACTATACCAGGTCTGCAGTTAAAACACATTGAAACACTGAAATGGCTTGAATGTCACTACTGATAAGGGTGTTTTTTTTTTTTTTTTTTGCTTTTTGGGTCACACCTGCGATGCTCAGGGGTTACTCCTGGCTCTGCACTCAGGAATTACTCCTGGCGGTGCTTGGGGAACCATATGGGATGCTGGGAATTGAACCCGGGTTGGCCGCGTGCAAGGCAAATGCCCTACCTGCTGTGCTATTGCTCCAGCCCCACTACTGAAAGTTTTAAATGCATCATTCATGTATATTTCACTATTCTTTGTCATTTAATAGACATATAAGCAAGATTAAAGTTCAATCCTTCCTTATGTTATTTTAGGAAGTAAAACAGATGGGGTTTTATTGAAGGTGTTTTTGGTCACACCTGGCAGTGCTCAGGGCTCACTCTTGGCAGCTCAGGGGATCATATGTGGTATGAGGGATTGAACCTATGTCTGCTACATGCAAGACAAATGCCCTACTTAAAGAGATTTACATAGAGAAATGTGAGGGGAGAGAAAGGAGAAAGGGGATTGGAGGAGAGGGAGGGAGGGAGAGAAAGGGAGGTGGAGGGAGAGAAAGGGGGGCAAGGGGAGAGGTTGGGGAAAAAAGAGAGGGGGGCCTACTAATGTTAAATTTCATAACACCTTTGCAATTTTATTGGCGCTAAAGACTAAATGCCTCTTACCTTGCTTTCCTAGAGTGAAAGCAATTCTAACAAATAAATACTGAAACACATGAAGGAGAAAGATAAGAGACAATATACTCTAAATATAATGGAAAAGTCTGAGTTGATAACCAAGAGGAGGAAAGTTCAAGATGAGGTAAGAGAGAAAGGTCAAGATTCTGAAGGGTCATGTTATTAATGTCTGATATAATCCTGCATATGACAGGTTTCTACTTGAAGGGTTTAAAACGATGGAATGATATGAGCATACAGTCCTTTGAAAAGAATTTTCTGGTTACAACCCAGGGAAAGAACTAGAAGGTGGCAAAGCTGAAGATGAGTTATAAGCTGGATGGTAGCGTGACTTTCCAGGAGAGGGGATGGTAGACTGCATCTGGTGACCGCAGAGAAAAATAGAGACTGGAAGATACATTTAGGATATAAAGTGTGGGGAATAAGAACGAATGACACAGATATCCACGGAAGAGAAGCAAGAGGGAGAATGAAGCTAATACCTTGGACAGAGTCAAGAGCATGAGCTCCAGCTCAGCGTGAGTCCTAACATCAGCCCTGAGGCTTACTATATATCACCAATTTCTGAGTTTTCTCAAACGCTTACCTTGTTGTCCACCCAAGAGTCTTTCCACTCCTTTGATTAATTTGTGGCGGTGTCCATATGCATTGATACCTATTTCTTTTAACTCCTCGTGACCCATATCAGCCAACACATCCAGTGTAATCTGAAAGATAAACCAAAATAGTTGCAAAATATTTAACAATTCCTTGACTGAGTTACTTTGCTAATCTTACCAGCACTTTACTCTCTTGAAATACTCCATCTGCTTTTGGTTACTGGAAATTGAAACTGGAGGGATATTGCTTTCTTTTCTTTTTTCACCTTTTTAATAAAATGATAACTTTTAAATTTTCTTTTAGATTGTTAGAAACATCATCTATTGCTTGCTTTAGAATAGAAAGAAAAATCAGCTTGATGGTGGGGAAATATCAGCTCTGGGAATCAAACAGGTAGTAGAGAAGAATGGGAGGTCAAAGAGAAAGAAGATTAGCATAAGGAGACCCAACATTGTAAAAAAGGAGTAAGGGGTTTTAGGTCAGGATAATCTGAATAAAGATTGCAAGAACTTCCCAGTACCAAGAAATATTCAAGTATGGAAGTTGCTGTTGAAAGAGTGAGATTTATATTCCAAATGCTAAGATTATAGATTAGGGCCTGAGGGAACAGTGGGTAGGGACTTTGTCTTATACCCATCAGGTATGTGTTCAATCCCCCAGAGCCATGCCACGAGTACAAGAAAGAGCTCAGAGTCACGAGTACTGAGCACTGCCGGTGTGGCCCCAACAACACCCCCCGCCCAAAAAAAGAATACAGACCATTTTACATAGAAGCAATATAAGGAATTCCAATCTGAAGAAAAATCCTTTATTTAGTTAGTTCTTGTATAAGATTTAATAACCCCCAAGTCTCAACATAATCCTTTTTGAAGGGACAAAAATAATTATTTAAAGTTTGTTTTAAAAACGTTACTCATTCTTGTAAATGGAGCTAGAACCAAGACTCAAAATTACTTCATTCCTTTGTTGATGAATAGTCACTGTGACTCTACTGCCACCCAGTGGCAGTACTCCAAACAGAGTGAAAGCCACTCAACTTTCCTGAGAGGGAAAAACGTGAGATTTTCCATTTCAGAAGTAGCTGTCCTCTATACTACTTCCCAAAATTTGCCCTTGATTCCATTCCAAAGAAAACTGGAGAAATTCTTCTATAAATAATAATATAGAAATTGTTCTATAAATTCTCCTTTCCAAAAAAAATGAAATGCTTTTAAATCTAGCTGCAACTCTATTTGCACACGATATTTGAAAAAAAAAAAAGAAGCCTAGGACTACTGATTTTTATTGTCAGAATAAAATCTCATATATATAAAGGAGTCCAATCTTCTCAGAGCAACAAGCAGGCACCCACTCACCCTTTGGAAATAATTTACCATACTTCAAAATCATTTAATAAAAGTAATTGCTCCTTTGTATAAGCAATTAATCTACTTCAGTTCATCTAAAGGGAACAATTTTTAAAGAGCAAAAGTTCTGAAATTTATATCTTTGTGAAAATAACAGTTCACAGAATTATAGATGCAGAAGCCTGCCGCATGAGCTGGGGAGAAGGCAGCTGGTAGAGAGAAGGGATCACTAAATCAATGATGGCTGGAGGAATCATTTGGGATGGGAGATGTGTGCTGAAAGTAGATAAAGGACCAAACATGATAGCCTCTCAGTATCTATATTGAAAACCGTAACCCCAAAGTAGAGAGACAGTATGGGGGAAACTGTCTGCAATAGAGGCAGGGGAGGGGTGGAATAGTGAGGGGCATACCGGGGACATTGGTGGTGGAAAATGTGCACTGGTGGAGGGATGGGTGTTTGATCATTGTATGGCTGAAACTCAAATATAAAAGCTTTGTAACTTTATCTCACGGTGATTCAATAAAAAAAGAATTATAGATGCCTGTATAATTTTAGCTAGTAAGATTTTATTACAATTTGGAAACATGTACAATCTACATTATTGATATTCCTTTTTTTTTCTTCCTAAATAACCTGAGTTCAAACAAGGTTGATATTAAAAAAAAACAAACAGGGTCTCATGTATCAAATTACCAGTTCCAATTCCAAGGTTCCTTACATTCTTCTGAATTGACATAGTGCATATCTGGAAGCAACAGAAACCAAGCCAGTAAACACAGCGTTCGCTACCTGCCAGCAGGTTCCAAACCTTTTACACTCATGGGTCATACCCCGTCAGTGGCCTGGAAGTGTAAACCACTGCTCTAGAGGTTCTCGGGAGAGATGGAGAATGATCTGTTCATAACAAAAACACCTTATTTCATTCTCACAATAAAAAAGTAACATTAATGTCCTTCTGAGAAAACAGGCTCAGACAAGTCAAAAAGAACATTCATAGAAGAGCAGAAAGGTATTGTAGTGGCTGTCTTTCCCTAGTGCTTCTCTCCTGCCCTTCCTCCATTTCCTTTTTTTGGGAGGTTGGGGGGGCACACTCAGTGGTACTCAGGGCTTATTCTTGGCTCTGCAGGCAGGATCACTCCTGGCAGGCTCAGGAGACCATACGGGATGTGAGGAATCAAACCCAGTCGGCCATGTGCAAGGCAAACACCCTACCTGCTATACTATTTCTCTGGCCCCCAGCTTCTATTTCTTAATAATGATGACAACTAGAAGAAAACAGAAAGCTAAAATAACCAAACCTGAGTTTAGGTGCTTTGAGTTATATCTAGAAAATCAGAGGTTTGCTATTTCTTTATACTCAGCATATATTAAAATAAAATTATAATTTAAAAAAGATAATCCATGCATCAGCAAACTTATCTTGCATATTATGCAAATGCCACTTCAAGAACTATTTCTTGTCCTAAGATTTGTTAATTTTTCAGGAATGGGGAGAGAAAGAGTTAAAAAAAAGACAATTCTTTTACTAGGGGTTTTTACTCTAGATCGCAGACTAGAGTAACAATAAAAATAACTATAAATTCATATTCACAATATTTTAGTCCATGCTTTTGTCTTTACTTTTTATTTATTTTTGGCTTTTGGGGTCACACCTGGTAATGCACAGAGGTCACTCCTGGCTCTGCACTCAGGAATTACTCCTGGCAGTGCTCAGCAGACCATATGGACGCTGGGAATAGTACCCAGGTCAGCCGTGTGCAAGGCAAACACCCTATCCACTGTGCTATCGCTCCAGCCCCAATCTTTAAAGAATTTTAACTAGAAACACGTATTTATACTATGCATGGTGTTGGATTTTTTATTGTAACACCATGATTTTACTAAGTTGTTCATAATACACTTGTTTCAACAAAAATCAATTCCACCACCAGTGTGACCTTCCCTCTACCAATGTCCCTGTTTCCCTCCCACCTACAAGCCTACTCCTTGGTAGGTTCATAACACATCTACTTTATACTGCTTCTGCAACAAAAAAATAAGTGGAATTATCAGGGAATAGATCAGTAAAAGTCAATCTGTGATGACTGACTGTTGTATCTCACATGGTGTTACTAAAGTCACTGGGGATTTACTCAGCTGGATGGTGCTGGTTGAGTCTTCCTTGGTACTGTTTTGGCTCACTGAACTTAATGGACTTCTATGCAAGTTTCCCGTCAAATCTACTGTGTTCTTACAGAGATGTATGTAAATACTGTGAAATCCAGAGGTGCCCAGTGGTCACATATGTGGCCATATGCTTCAGGAATTGTGGAGCTGGACCCATTTATAGGGCAGAGGAAGTTGAGTGTGGGGGTTACTCGGCCTAGTGGGAAAGGAGGGGAATCTGCCTGTCCCCAATGCAAGAAGGACTCAAGAGTTTTCAGGTTGGAGATGGATCTACCTGGAACCATTTGGTGGTTTGACAGCTTGCTGAGATTCAGCTGTTGAGCTGGGCCTGTTTATGTGGCAGAGGATCTCAGGTGTGATGGCTGCTGGGACTAACTAGAAGGGAGAGGAATCTGCCCACCCACATTCCAAAAGCCCTCAGACTTTTCAGTTCTGAGATTAACCTATGTTTGATGGCTTGTTGAGGGTGTTGAACTTTTAACTAGATGTACTATGGTGGTCACTTCACAATATATAAAAATAGTGAAACATGATGTTGTATTCTTAATGTGTACCTATGATGAAGCTAATATGTCAGTTAAAAAAAACAACCAATCTTTAAATAACTGTTAAAAATTTATAAAATCACACTGTATAAAAACACGTGGATGATAAATAAGCCCACAATGATCATGAACAGGCTCACAAGGAGTCTTCCAAGTTCTATCACATCATGTTCCAGAAGTTACAATATAAATCAAGTTACATTTAATAAATGAAGGGTGCAAATGACACTTGGTATTACAGTTAATAACAAAGACAATTGCTATATGTTAAAGTAAAACTTGACAAAATATTTATGCTAATGAATCCAGTTAGTTAAGCAACTACTAAGCATGTAACTGTGAAGGCTTTTAGATAAGGCTATGGTGCTGGAAGGGAAGTGTTTCAGGAACCAGGAATAAAGTATCTCTTTCCCCAATCCACTGAGTGAGAAGTAGCTAAAAGCAGTAACAGAAGGGCTCTCTAGCTTATGCTACACAGACACAAAATAATGGGCACAATATATATACCTTCACTTTCTCCCCCCAGCTATTCTGATCATCAGCATAATATTACTGGCTTGATAACAGAATGACAATGGGAGAAAGTTCAATAGGTAAGTTAAAAAGAGTTATGGCATTCATTACTCTGTAGCTGAAGACTAGTCAAGGAACAATAAAAATGAATCTGATTGCTTATTACTTAGTCCAGGACAGTCAAATGTGGTTCATTACAAAAAAAGGTCACTTGCCGGGAAGAACAGTGCTAGTATACTTTAAATGAAATAGTCAACTTATTTATAAAAAAAAAAAAGAGGTTGGGGGGAAAAAGAAATCAAGGAACACATTTACTCAGACAGAACAAAGTTGCAGTGAAAAAAAGATAATAAATTCATGTAACCAGGATAATGAGTCAAGAGGACTTATGAATTAAAAAAAAAGAGGACTTATGACTGAATTATTTAACTAATAAAATCAATCAGATGGGAGTCATGCCACAGGAGATTAGTAAATGGAAGAGACAGTAAGAACAAAAAGCATACATGTATGATGCAAGCTGATGGAAAAAGATGAAACTCAATTCCTATGAAAAATTTTCTTCAGTCAACTTAAGTAATTTGTCTAAATTATAATATTCAGTTCATCAAGTCAAGAAGTATAAAATATTATTATGGATATAATTTAGAAAAAAGGGACTAAGTTGGGATATGGCAATTATATTTTTAAAATCCCTCCAATACCTTCAGAAAAAAGGTAAAAATGTTCTATTTACAATATTCTCCTAAAAATCTCAAAATAGAGTCAACCAATGGAAGGTGAAGTTTAAAGGGAAAAGGGAATTATTATGGCCGGGTTTAAAGTCTTTACCAGTAGACAGAAGACCCATCTGATGTTTCATTAACACATATTTCACTAACAGACACAGAAGATAGGAATTTTAACATTTTGTGGACATTTGAAAGAATATTTTACAGGTAAAGTAAGCGACAGGTTTAAAATGTTACATAAACAGTAATAGGGAGAAAATAATCAGAGTTAAGATATACTTTTTTTTTTTTACCCCATGGATATTCTCAGTTATTTTGATCATTAGGGTATTAAAGATGAACTACAATCAACAATATATTGAAATTTAGCTAAGAAACAAGAAACAGTATTAGAAAAATGATTCCAGTATAAATGATAGAAAAAGGATACAGGTTTTAAATTAAACTGGATGACTTAAAGTATAAAAGTCACAGAGGTAGCAGGCAGTGAGGAATTTGGGAACTCTGTTTATATAGAGAATAACTGAAAAAGGTCGCAAATTTGTCCTCAAATAAAAGGAAGTCTGTAGGAGTGGATGGCCGCAAGGGTCAGCCTCTTGCTCGCTAGCTCTCAGAAAGTCTGACCAGAAGATTGTGTTCTCATCCACAAGCCCCATAGAGGAAATGTCAACCTTTGTTTACATTTGTTAAAAGCAACACAAAGAAGGGTCACAAGGCTGGAAGAGAGTCCTCACATATGTGTGGTCAGGATTCACTACACTGGAAAAGCGTTTCCCAACTGGAAAAGCCTGCCGTCCAGGCAACAAGGCCTGTGCACAGAGGCTCCCTGGTGGGTGGGAGCAGGCAGTCACTGAGGGAATGGAGGAAAACAGCAACAGCCCCTCAAGAACCTACAAAAATAGGCTCCTCAGAGGATTCCTTCTTTGGTTCCGAAAAAGTGTGCTGTGTTTTTCCATAAAGCCTTCCTTCCTGTTTCTAAGTAAACCCATTTGCTGGTGAAATAACTGGCTGTGAGGTAATGACACCTCTGCAGATGCAAAGATCCTGAAGAGAGATCATCTTAAGTTTTAACCTGAGCCATGCACACAGTAGAGAGAACAGACGGCAAGTGGGTAATGTGAAAAAGGAGAGAAATATGGCTCCAAGCCACAGGGAAAGGGGGCCAGGAGCACGAGGCGAATTTCCCCTCCGACTCTCCATCTGCAGTGCGGTCTGACCATCACTGGATTTGGAACGTTCAGCTTCCGGAGCTGTGAGAATCAAACTTCTCAGAAAAGAACTAAATTTTTATTGTTTAAGTCAGTAAGTCTGTGATTATTTGTTATGGTAGTTCTATAAAAGTAATAAAAGATTTGTAGACTAGAAGCTTGATTTCTGTGAAAAACAGAAAAATATAAGCAGGATTGAGATCAGTGGATCCAGTGGGTAGATCTTGGCACACATTAAATAAGCAATAACACCGCCCAAATTGTAGCAAGCTGGCATCCCATGTAGATGTTTAAAAAAGTCATTTCTATATCTGGGTGAATGACAATAATTTCTAAAGACTGTCTCTTTCTAAGATTCTAAATATACCAATAACCTTCTAGAATCATCTAGTATCTGATTCAACATAAAAACAGAATGAGAAACAAAGATCTCAATTCATAAATGCTGTTAAAGATGACTTCACAGCTAAGACCCTCGTTAACTACTAACATTATTCTGAAAATATAATCGGTCTATTTTGAGGGTATGGCCAATTTTGGGATCAACTTTGCTTTGGACTTCAGCTGGTTATCAGGAAATTTATAAAAGGGCGATTTGAAAGAAGGTGCATTTATCTACTTCTGTTGTTTTTTTGCCACATGGTACTAATGGCTTATTCCTGGTTCTGGGTTCCTGGATCATTCCTGGTAGGGCTTGGGGGACCATATGGAGTACCGGGTGTGTGCATGGCAAGCTCCTATTTTGTTATACTATCTTTCCAGCCCCCCAAAGGTGCACTTTTCTATTAATTTTTGATTAAATGAACAATTGCTTCATAAACATTTTTGCAAAATATTTCTCACAATTTTTTCCTTTGCTTTAAGATGGGTAAGGGGTGAATAAATGTCAGTAGGTTTTGGAAGCAAAATAATCAAAGATGTTGAAAATATTCATATGTTTCGTAGTATAAATTTTGACATAATTAAACTTATGGAACCTGGTAGCATAAAAGGACATAACACAGTCAGAAAGATTTGCTATGGGGCTGGAGTAGTAGTATAGCAGATAAGGCACTTGCCGCAAGTGTTGGGCCTGGATTCCCTTTCCGGTCCCCCAGGAACACTGACAGGAGTGATCCTTGAGCAGAGTCATGGATAAGCCCTGAGTATGGCCTCCAAACCACCACCATCAACAACAAAAAAGACTTCTACCATCAATGAGACATTTTGGGGAAAGAAGTATAAAAAACTGGGTCCCCTGGTTTCTTTATAGATTTGCTATAGGTTAAAAAAAAACAGCAGTTGAGAGACAATAATAAAATGCATGGTAATAAATAACTATATTTAATTTGAAAGATTCCAAATAAGAGAAATTACCTGTTCTGTTTCAAAGATGTCCCGAAGGTGTTCAAGCCCAAGGCTTTTTAGGAATTGGCTGATATTCATGTCAAGACCCGCAACTAGGAGAGACACAAAGTTTTTTAGAAGGGATTATCAAGTCTAAAGGAAGTTCCTTAATTAATCTTAATTAGAATTTTATTAAAACAGCCATCTCTCTGATACCCTTGGCTGTGCAGGTGATTCCACACAGCATAAAATAATGCAAACTGGGGGCCAGAGAGACAGTTCAGCAGATAGGGCATTTTTGCTTTGCACATGGCTGACTCAGATTCCATCTCTGGCACCCTGGTCATATTCTTCTGAGCCTATCAGAAGCAATCAATGAGCACTGAATCAGGAGTAAGCTGTGAGCACAGCTGGATGTGGTCCAAAGTTGCCAACATGCCACCTGCTGCTCCCACCTCCAAAAGCAGACCTTATACTTCATTCAGACACTTCATCTCTGAAAGTTGTGAAGAAGTAAAAGCAGTATTTACATTAATTTTAATATTAGAGCATAATTTAATGCTTTTAATAAAATATCATATTGGAGCAATAGCACAGTGGTAGGGCCTTTGCCTTGCGTGTAGCCAGCCCGGCCAAGCCAGGTTCGATTCTTCCACCCCTCTTGGAGAGCCTGGCAAGCTACCAAGAGTATCTTGCCCTCGCGGCAAAGCCTGGCAAGCTACCCGTGACGTATTCAATATGCCAAACACAGTAACAAGTCTGTGTAACAAGTAACAAGTCACAGTAACGATGGAGAAGACCTTACTGGGCCTGCTCGAGTAAATTGATGAATAATGGGAGGACCGTGACGTGACCAAGAACATGCAATTTGCTGGCATTTTTGTTTTCATTCTCTAATTTTCTTTTTTTCCCTGACACAATTTCAGTACTAAGTAGTCTGATAAAATACTATGTTGAAAATGTAAGGGGATACACACACACACATATATATATGAATAAGTTAAGGCCAAATAACTTCTAGCAAGGTAGAGGTATTATAAACTCTTGTGTCTATGAACATTTAAGGACAGAATGAACAGGTTTGCTTTTCCCTATCGCTAATCATCAAATTAAGCAAATCTGTTCCTTTTTAAAAAATGAGGAAACCAGATAAAGTAAGCATTCTCGAGGTATACTTGCCTTCTCCTTCCTTCCTTTCTGTGCCTGCTGCGCCGTCCCCCGTGTTGGATGCTCCCCCAACCGCCAACTCTGCTAGAGGGCCGGTGAGATTGTCTATGCTGCTGGCGGCGGACAGGCAAGAGGGGGTGGACGCTGGGGAGATCATAGAGGCACTCACTACGGTGGCCTGAGGTTTGAAGCAGGTGGGTAAGGCCTCGGGAGGCATGGCGTCTATCAGCAACGCCCTGATATCGTCAGCCTAAAAGGAATTGTGCAAAACAGGTTAGATGTTACTTTAGCTTTTCACTAAGAAACCAAATGCCCTGTCACCCCCTCTTGGTTTCTGATCACCCCTTCCTCTACAGCCAGACATTTCAGAAGGAATACTAAGCACTGCACTGTAGCACTGTCCTCCCGTTGTTCATCGATTTGCTTGAGCGGGCCCAGTAACATCTCCATTGTGAGACTTGTTACTGTGTTTGGCATATCAAATACGCCACGGGGAGCTTGCCAGGCTTTGCCATACAAGTGACATACTCTCGGTAACTTGCCGGGCTCTCCAAGAGGGGTGGAGGAATTGAACCTGGGCTGACCAGTGTATTTTTTTCTTTTTAAATATGGAACGCTTCACGAATTTGCGTGTCATCCTTGCACAGGGGCCATGCTAATCTTCTCTGTATCATTCCAATTTTAGTATATGTGATGCCTAAGCAAGCATGTGTACGGTTTTTTAAAGTCTATTTTCTTTTGAAAATCTAATAGCCTGGTGGTGATGATTGGTGATAACTATATTACACACCTGAGAATCTGCTGAGGGTAGGCTTCAAAGTGTTCTTGCCACAAGAATACAAAATATTAACAAGAAAGATTTGACAATACAGGTATTTAATGGGTACATGCGAATGAAGATCTGAACTGTGAGTCCAACTGCTCCAGGTCCCTTTACAGAAGCCCATTTCAGAATACTGGTCCTCATTCACAGAACTCTCGTCACTGTATTCTACTTGTACTCACCTATAAACATTTTTTTGGTTATTAAGTACAGACTTAATAACAATGTAAAATTAAAATCGAATGGAGTATTCAATGGAAGGTAGATGAGTCTGGCCTAGATTCTTCATAAAATGTGTAGGGTATAGGTATTAGGATAACTGCTGACAGGACTATAAGTGAGACAGTCTCCCGGGAGGGCTACCAACCATGAATTCCTCCCCTGGGTATATAGCACAGCCCTGGCGAGAGTCTGTGAGCAGAAGGCAAAGGGTGTGAGTGCTGAGGTGTCCTGTGTGCTGTAAAGAAGTCTGGGATAGTGCGACTCACAAGACTGAGAGGGGGAACATGGGGAATTTACTGAACTCCCAGAACAGACTGAGAAATAAGAACCCGTTGTGTCAAGCCATTCTGTTCTTGTTAAAAATTATAAAAGTGTTCTAAGTCATTTGTTACTCAATCATTATTGGATATGAAGTGTGGCTTGGAAAATGATTGCTGGCTTTAAAAACTAGATCACTGATGGGGGTCCTAAGTCAGTCCCCGGTAACTTCAAAAAATAAAGGTAGATGATGCTGTGTCTCATTTTCTAGTTGAGTCACCTCTAACCACAAAAATAAGATTTCTAAAATGCTCTACAAAATCTCCATTTATTTCACCATCTTCAGAATAACTGTACCAACACTTCAATATGTACTCCTGATTAGATCTCCTAGTCTCAGGTAAGTCATCAAGCACACCAGCTGTCTTAGGACAATGTCAAATGCAGGAGGAGTTAAGACTATTTACTTAGGAGTTAGACTGTGATCCTTAAAGAAGCACATGGCTCTTTACATGATATATTCTAGATTACATATGGCGTTCATGGAGACTTGTATTTGCCCTCCACGGACTGCCAAAAGAATGAAACTTACTTTATTGCTGAGTTTGTGTTCAAACAGAATTAAAAATTCCATCAAAAAAAAACCACATACTTAAACCACTGTGGAAGGAGAGAAATCTGTTTGTAACATCAGTGAAATAAAGTAAGCATTACTAAAGTAGAAACTGTTAAGGGTTGGGATCTTCTGTCACCTAAGGCCATGCTTAGTATGTTATTATGTGGACTTACAGTTGCCAGGTCCAATGGTGTTTGACCTTCTTGGTTTTTCATAGTTGGATCCGCACCGTGTGCTAAGAGCAGGGCACATAACTGTGTCCTTCCTTTCTGGGCTGCTTCGTGAAGAGGAGTAAATGCCCACTTATCTGTTGCATTTACACATGTATTGTATTTTATCAATAAGGCCGCTATGTCCACATGCTGCACAAAAGCACATGGAGATGAAGAATCAAAAATGAGATCTTGGAAAGCTTCACCATGTCCACTTGTTTAACATTTCATCCCTCTTTTATATGTATTCTCACACTTAAAAAACAGATGTTCTAGGGAGTACTGATCCATTCCTTTTCAAATTTCATTTTCGCTTGCCTCTTCTAAAATTTGAATCCTACAATGATTCTTTTACTATCTAACTAGTCACAGGAACTTAAAATAACCAAGCCTTTTAATATCGTCAGGCCTATCTAAAGACAACAACAACAAATCCTATAAAATTACTATCTAACTCCAAGTCTCTTAATGGTCAACCCTGAGTGGCAAATGTCTCAAATGAGTCTTCTCTGCCCATCACCCCTCTCTTCTCATCTTCAATCTGATATACTAATTGAAGCAACTCTTCTTAGAGTTTCAATGTTCTTTCTTCAGCTTTTCAGAATGTAAGGTTATAGGAAAAGAACATTTCACCAAAATTGGTGTGTTTTAAGAATACAAGAAACTACTTTATGATGAACAACTTTGTATATCAGTGTCTTTTTTAAAAAGCAAAAATCCAGTATACACATTTGGGGTACAGGGACAGAGTACAGTGGGGGAAAGGTGCCTGCCTCAAAAGCTGAGGAATCTGGCTCATCCTTAGTGCCATGCAGGGCTCCCAGGCATCACCAGGGGTCACTCCTGAGACAGGAGCCTGAAAATGTCTTTCAAAACCTCAAAAACAAAACATTTTCGGGCTCAAGAGGGAGAGCAAATACCTTTCAAGGGGGAGGTCCTGGGTCCCTCACACCACATGGCTCCCCCAAAACACAAGTGCGGCCTTTGGTGGTCCCCAAGTTCCACTAGGGGTGACCCTGGGTTATAGATCAGCACCATGTGTGGTACCCAAACAACACACAAAAAATGAAAGTTTATGACAAAAAATTATTCAAAGGTAGTTTGAAGCTTTTGATAATATTAAATGTAACTTTTAATTATGTATAGAAGCAATAAGGGATTCCTGCAACCCATCTCAAGGTAATATTTCAAGGGTAACATTCTAAAATTCTGGGCTGTAGATACAATATGAGAGAGAAGGCACTAGCCTCACATGCGGCACACTCTGGTTCAAATTTCCGCCACCACATATGGCTCCCTGAACACTGTCAGGGGGCACTCCTGAGTAGAGAGTAGTCCCTGAGCACTATGGGGAGTGGCCGCCAAACCAAAATAAATATACATACACATAAATGATTGGTAGAAAAAATAATTTCAGAGAACTAGAAGGAATATATTTAAGAAAAAACTTGAACTTCCAAGGAAGCATACATAATTATTCTGACAATATAAAGGCCAAATATAAAAAGCACGATCAGGCAAGGGTTTCTGAAAAGAGGCTATTTTTATGTTAACCTTTTTTCAATAAATGATTATAGCATCATTATAAAATTGACAAAAAGATAAAAATGGGCACCAATTATGTAGCTACCAAATTACCTACAATAATACAACATAAAACACAGTAATTTAGTTACCTAATAAAAGAATATTTATTGAAAAGAATATTTTTGATCAGTTAAACCACAAATATGGAATAATTTCAAACTTCCAGGAAGCTTACTGGCTATTTAAATGATGTTACTGAAGATTATATTTATTCTACTTCCATATGCACTGGAAGAGAATATAATTTGAAAGATTAATTTGAATAAGCTTTCAAAATTTGGTAATCCAGTGAAAATTACATGTGTATGTATAGAATGAGTTCTGTATATGCTCTGAATCATTAAACTTTATGTTGAATGTATTGTTTTGTGTGGAGAAACTAATTCTATGCTGGGTCAATGTGCTAAAAAACATCTCAAAAAACAAAAATCAGTCAAGAGCACACTACTATCTAAACAGACTACAGACACAATTTTTACCACTTACAAATCTACACCACCTGGGTAAAAAGATCCCTGGAAACGAAGGTTAACAAAGGCCATAAACAGGCTACATTTCAGTCCTATACAATTTTTAAGAGTATGGGGCGTGAACAGGGCTCAAGGCTTAGAACTTAGACTAAGGATGCAAGTTTGGTCCCTGGTGCTACCATGCACTAAGCACAGACTAACAGCTCATGCTATTCACAGAGAACAGTCTGGCAACTGTACCACCTGGGATTCTTAGAGCAGCAAATTGCAGCCACACAGCAATCAGGTGTGTGTGAGCACCCCAACTAAAGGGGTGCAACCCTTGCAACCAAATATAGGAAATGTAAGTCACACAGATGCAAAATGCACTGCTTGGTAACCAACTGTGAGTTCTGAAGCATCCTGGACCCTGAAAGTACCAAGCAAGCACCAGGAGGGAGCTTGAACAGGGGAACATGTGTGCAAGCACCAGAACTACTAGAGTCCAGCTGTCCAGGCAAACACCTTGACCACGTGTGTAAACAAAAAAGCCTGATGGAGAGCAACGTAACTACCCGTGTCAGTACCACAGCCAGGCCCATATGATCCCGGTCATGTAACAACAATAATGAAGGTAAGGAGGAAAATCATCTTCCTCAACCTTTAAAAAAAAGCACACGTGAGGCCATAGCCACAGCATAGCAGGGAGGATGTGTGCCTTGCATGTGGCTGACCTGAGTTGAATCCCTGGCATCCCACATGGTCTCCTGAGTATCGTCAGAAATGATTCCTGAGTACAGTCAGGAGTAAACCCTGAGCCAATGTGCCTCCATCTCCCACATTGTTTTTTTTAAAGTGTGTACATGCATCTGTAAGCAAAGCATTCAAGTGAAAGATCTAAAAAAGGATGACTGAAATGTTTCCACAAGAGTACATCAAAGACAGTTGGAGAATCAAGTTGTACAACAAAATGCTGTTAATGACAACTATTTTCATTGTAGAGACCTGGGAAGCAGGGGAGGAGACATGCTGGGGCTCCAGTCAGAACTCTTTTAAAAACCTCTTTTAAAACTCTTTTAAAACTGTAAACTGATGCCACTTGTCTCCCAATGTTGGACACTTGTTTAAAGAGAAATCAGTGAAACATGAAAAGGTTCAGAGAAGAAAATCCAGCAAATTGATTTACTCAGTATAAAATGACATGCTACATGAGTAACAACGACAACAGAAAGAGTATATGCAAAAGCACTGAACAGAATAAGGCATGATATGACTATAAAGATGCAAAACCCTTCAATCTTAAAAGTTCTTCTTGGGTATGTATGCACTTGGCTCTATGTTTAATGATCATTCCTGGCAGGGTGAAACATGTTCCAAGTACTAGGCTGGGGCTGGCCACATGCAAGGCTAATGCCTTAACCCTTGCTCTATCTCTCCAAATCTAACTTTCAAATTTCTTCAACAATGTGTTTCTGAATTGAGGAAAACTGAGACAGCAAGTTCTTTCTGTATAAAAAGGCCCAAAACACAGACCAAGCTTTTTAGAGAAAAATACAATAGGCATCAAAGAATACTTACCGCCAAATAACAGCATGACTAATGAAATTTTATAGATATCACATTATTCTATCTCTAGGCTATAAGCCATTATCTGAACTCAATTACTAACTATTTCACATTGATATTCAGCTGGCTAGGCATGCAGATTATTCCTAACTAAATTGTAAGATTTAAGAGTGCCACAAAGTCCTTCTTCTGGCTGGCTCAAGCAACATCTATTTCTGTACTAGATAAAAAGTAGAGACAAAAAAAAATGCTATAGAAAGGATGAACTTTGGTTGAAAGATGGTCTTGCTTAACTGGGCCAGAAATGTTAATAACAGATTAAAATTGTGCTAATTTAGGCTCACATTTCTACTCCAGGTGAAGTGTGCCTTTCCGAGTAAATGTTAGTGTAGTTTTCTAGGCTTCAGCTTTAGCATACTCACCCCATAGGAGGCTGCGTTATGGAGAGGAATTAAACCACCTTTATCTTGGGCATTAACATCTGCTCCATGCTCGAGAAGATACTCAGCTACTTCCAGGTTATTATAACCTGCTATTGGAGGGGGAAAAAAAGGACAAATGTGAAATTTTTGAAAGAAAAAAATTGTTTTTTTGTATATATGTGATTTATAATTTGTGTGTGTGTATATATGTGTGTAAATTATGAGGAGGAAAATGTTAAGGTTTTAATACTTTTTAATTTAAAAGCTTTTACTGTTATCACATAATTGAGCGTTAACGAAAAGAAATTAAAATTAGGTCAATCAAAAGCATTAAGTGGTTCTTATGCCCAGCACTTCTTCCACTAGTAAAGTATATTCAATCTCCCAGAAAGGTCCGGGAAACGTGGCAGGGCTGGTGGTCCTTACCAGCCAGGTGCAGAGGGGTGGAGTTCCTGCCCTGGGTGTCTCTGCAGTTGATGTTCTCTGGGGTACAGAGCTTCTGCACTCTTGCCAGGCAGCCCTTCTTGGCTGCATCCAATAAGGCAGCATCACCTCTCAGTAAATCCTGAATATCTGTGTCTCCCTCTTTCACCAGATCTAGTGGTGTATTTCCATCTCTGTTCTTTTTTGTTGGATCAGCTCCATGCTGTAGAGAAGAAAATCAAACATGAGTTTATATCATCTATAGTATCATTCATAAGGTGACTTAATTTATATTATCACTATTAACTTCACCCTCAATTCAAAGGAAGATATCTTTGTTGTACGCAACTTAAAAAGAGCAGGCGTGTATCCTGTTTTATTTATTGCTTAGACATTATTTTTTATTGAATCACACTGTAAGGTGAATCCTATTTTAATGCAAATTTCTTACTTGACAATACAGTGGAGCAGCTCTACTCAGCAAAGCCTACTGACCAACAGGGACAGAGAAGTATAGGAGGTGATCAGTGCCTGTGACCATTGTATTATTTATTTTTTCAGACTCCAAGCTGTCTTTGAAAATCTCTTTTCTCTTTAAGAATGGCAGAGATGCAAATTTTAATCAGATTCCAGTTGCATAAATATATTTAACGGACATCATAAAAAACAAGAATAAAGAGAAAGACACACAGGTGGAAAGAATGCTTAATCCTAAATTGAATCAATAAGGAAAAAGAAGTCTGAAAAACATAAGCTTAACATCAATCATGCAAAAGGTTTAAATGTGCTAACAAATTGATTTTAATTAAAAATAAATGGAAGTCAAGATTATTTTTGTTAAAACCTGCCAGAAACTAACTTCAGAAAGGATAATTGAAATTGTAAAAATCAGAAACGGGACTGGAGCAACAGCACAGCACGTAGGGCTTTTGCCTTGCGCGTGGCTGACGCGGGTTCGATTCCCAGCATCCCATATGGTCCCCTGAACGCTAACAGGAGTAATTCCTGAGTGCATGAGCCAGGGGTAACCCCTGTGCAATGCCGGGTGTGACCCAAAAAGGAAAAAAAAATCAGAAACAAATCAAAGTAGAAAGAGGTTGAGTGATCTAAAAGGTACTTCTATACAACTAGCAGTATTAAAAACAAGGATAAAAAACATTGTTCTTAATATAACAATATTACTTTTAACAAAAACATATTAATATGTGAATGCATTGAGAGAAGAATTTCATTTATATTTAACTAGAATAAGTTTTCTTTTAACTTAAAAAAGCCCCATAAATATGTGTTTGATGATTTTTCATCATCCTTTGATTTACTAAGTACACAAATTTGAACACAAATTTATGTGATCATCATAAAATTACTAGTTTACACTATTTAAAGCATATCCCCCAAATCTGTATAGATAACTTTGCTCAAAGATTTAATATACTCATAACACAAGAATAAGGTTTGTAGAATACACACACTTAAATAAGTGTTTAACTGTCACGGTCCTCCCGTTGTTCATCGATTTGCTCGAGAGGTCCAGTAACGTCTCCATCGTGAGACTTGTTGTTACTGTGTTTGGCATATTGAATACGTCATGGGTAGCTTGCCAGGCTCTGCCGTGCGGGCGAGATACGATAGCACAGCGGTAGGGCATTTGCCTTACAAGCAGCCAACATGGCCGACCCGGGTTCGATTCCTCCGTCCCTCTCGGAGAGCCCGGCAAGTGTTTAAAAATGAAGCTAATTAGAGGGTCAGTAAGAAAGAATTGAAAAACTTGCTTTTTTAGAATAATTTTCTGATATTAATGTTAGAGAAGCAACGTAAACAGATTTACTCTTTCTAAAATGTACAATCTGATGTACTGTGATGAGCTAAATAAATCATTCAGATGGAACTTTAGCATTAGTTCAAGCTACAGATATATTGTACTGCACTTAAACTTTCTTGAAAAGAGAAATTGAAAGCAGTCTCTACAGAACTTGTTTTACTTAGCAAATGACTTTTTGTTTGAGCAGTGCTGGAGATCAAACTCAGGCGTCACTCATGCCAGACAGGAGCTTGACCACTGAGCCACGTGGTAGTAATAATGCTAAGAGAGGACTGGAGACAGGACAGGGACCAGGGGCCCCAAAATGTATTCCTGGGCTTTTGCACTAAACTATCTGCCCAGGTTGGTAAAGCATTGTGGGCTGCGTGGGTAAAGTACTAGTGAGCATTGCTTGGAGGTAAAAAGAAAGACCATTACTTTGATATAATTCCACATATTAACCCCTATAGCCCCCCAATAAGCAATTATATCTTATAATCTTAAGAAGTACATACTTTTAAAAGGAGCTTGCAGATTTCATATTTTCCTTTAGCTGCTGCTTCGTGCAGAGGGGTAAATTTCCATAAATCGGCCACATTGACTGAAGCACCGTGCCTTACTAGAAGTTCAGCCACCTCATAGTGTCCATATGAACAGGCATTATGAAGGGGCACCAAGCCACTAAACGAAGGAAAATTAATTTAAAGGCATATAACAAACTCTTGAATTAAGATGATTCTTAAAAGCAATTTAATTCTTTGTAGCATCAACTATACTGAACACTGACTAAAAAATATATAATTCTTCCTTTTGTCTTGAAGATACAGACATTCATTCTCAAGTTAGAAAAATCTGAAAAGTATCCTTTACGACATAAAAAAGTTCCCAAGTTTTATGGTGATTTAAATTTAAATTTCACTCTCCTTATAAGAGGAAAAGACTGTATCACAATACTTTCAAGATTTACCCTGGTAACACAAAGACCAATACTTTATGAATAAGTGAATACAAGGATGTACTGAAAAATAACCTGGCTTTATCATCTACATGATCTTCTTTAGTTTGGGTTTTTCTAATGAAAACGATATACATACTGAGAAATATGTCACTGTCACTGTCCTCCCATTGTTCATCAATTTGCTCGAGAGGGCAACAGTAACATCTCACAAAAAACTGTGAGACTTGTTGTTACTGTTTTTGGCATAATGAATACAACACAGATAGCTTGCCAGGCTTTGTCAAGAAATATATGTAATTTTACAGCAGTAGGGTGTTTGCCTTGCATGCAGTCAACATGGCCGACCCGAGTTTGATTCCTCCGCCCCTCTCGGAGAGCCCAGCAAGCTACCGAGAGTATCTCGCCCGCACGGCAGAGCCTGGCAAGCTCCCTGTGACGTATTCGATATGCCAAACACAGTAACAACAAAGTCTCCAATGGAGACGTTACTGGGCCTGCTCGAGCAAATCGAAGATCAATGGGAGGGCCTTTACTTTTTACTTTACTTACTAATTTACTTAGGCATGTCTTATTTAAATTCCTGCAAATTTGGTAGTGACACTTGTGCGAATATGTACATGTGGACATGTACAGCAACAGAAAATCAAACTCATAATTTTGTTAATCATAAACTCTAGAGTCAGATGAGAAAACCTACTATCTGAATTTAGAAAAACAGCTTCATTCTGAGATGAGTCTAAGTTCTGATAAAAAGGTGTCTAGATAAAAATAACCAAAAAATGTACCCATAAAAAAAGGCACAAATGAAAGATACAGTTCAGACATGACAAAATAAGAGATTAAGTGCCTTTCTTATTTAAAGAGATTGGTGTATTTTGTTTTCCTAATGTTTTGAGATCAAATATGCTCACTGCTAAAATAGACAATTGAAACAAATACTGCTTTTCAATGCAATACAACACTCCAAAAAAGCCAGTGATACTGTTTAATATTCATGTCTGAAGTGTTCTTTAAAAAGATAAATAAACCCATAATGGTTCATTAAAACCTAAGTGGTGTGGCCTAGCTATGTAATAACACAGAGGTAATAGCTCATTTATATTTTGGGATGATATAAAACTAACTACAAATATGGAAGCTCATTTGAGTTAAAAATTTCCTTCTTAATACTTCTCATAGCTTCCATGGAGATGTTCAGTCTTGTTAAGATAAATTAAAATAATTTAGCAAACTAATATAAAAATGAAGATGATTTGCATTCGTAAAATGAAAATTATGTTTCCATTAGTACAAATGCCTTTGGAGTGGATGGCTTCTTTTTGGAAGAGATTATACGCTCTCAACAGCAAAAAAAGGAGATAGCCAATAAGGTACAAACTATATAAACTTTATGACATATAATAAACTACTACTCTAGACAGGCATTACAAGAACGAGATGAACTTTCTATCAACTTCTAAACCCAGAAGTACTTGATACAGAGCGAGATTCGAACGACATACTCCTGGGTGAAGGAGGCAAGCAGCGAAGCAACAGAATGGCATTTGTGTTCAAAAGCGACCTCAACAAGCCAAGCAGCATCGGCACGCACACGTGCCGGTGTGCAAATGCACTGAAAATCTGGAGGATTACAACAAACATTCAATGCCTGCAATCTAGAAAAGTGGGATCACAGGGCATTCACTTTCCACATTGTACAATTATGTTTGATGATTTTACTCCGGCCCCCCATACTCATTACTTTTTAATAGGGAAAAAAGTCTATTAAAAACATATAGCATTTATTATTTTTTTTTAAATATCAAAAGCATGAACCCATATGGCTGAACGTGAACCTACCCTTTGTCTTTGGCATGGACATCGGCACCATGGTGCAGGAGGTATTCCACCACAGACACTCGATTGTAGCCTGCTGCAAAGTGCAAGGGTGTCGAGTGTCGACCCTCTAAATCTCTGCAATTCACATTTTGGGGGCTGCAAAGTTGCTTTGATGACACACACACAGAAACATACACAAAAATTAATACTTACTAAGAGATCTTGCTACAAAATACTATAAGTATTCTAGGATAAGTTGTAATTTTCTAATAAATTTTTATTTCTAAAGATTTAATAGTACAAGCAATATATTTTTAAAAAAAAACAGCATTCCGCTTGGCTTTACAATCTCTATGAATAGTCTTAACTGTTTACAGAGTAATTTAATCTTTTAAACATTTCCTGGCCAAAAGCCTAATAAAAAAGAAAAGCCTATCATAAGGCATTTCCAAGGCAAATGATACCTTCCTTTATGATGCTTTCCTTTTTCTCTTTATTTAGTTTTCCCCCTTGAGAATGCTTGTTATTGCATGTCTACTGTGCTTGAATGCGCTTAGCTGTTCTTTGCTCATGTAAAGACCAAGCCTGGTTGACTGCAAAACTACCTAGAGTTTAGTCTCTTCTGACAAGGTCTAAGCAAGCAAAAGGCTCTGGAAATTTTAATTGTGCAGCAAAGTCACACAGCCAACAATATTTTACTTTGATCTCTCCGGGAAGGGAATATCTCAAGTCTGACTGATTCCATTCATTTCCTAGTTTTGGCCTTCACTTTCACTGTTTCAACCTTTCTATCTACGTTTCTCCTTTTATTCCTTTCCCCTCTTTGAATGTTACCAGTTCAGAACAAATGCCATTCTGTTTGATAATAATTAAGTAGGTAGCAAAGATAAGTCATCTGTGGTGAAAGATGAATTACAATGATATCTGAATAATAATTTGTATGGAGGGGGTGCTGGAGCAATAGCATAGCAGGTAGGACATTTGCCTTGTATGCGGCGAACCCGGGTTCGATTCCCAGCATCCCATATGGTCCCCTGAGCACCGCCAGGGGTAATTCCTGAGTGCAGAGCCAGGAGTAACCCCTGTGCAAAAAATAAGGAATTTCATATCCTTTCAGTGAGAATTATTACTATGAAGTAAGCATTATCTTCATCGTAGGATAGACCAGCCATAGAGGGGCTGATGGTCTTTTTAAAACAATAATAGTATTATTTATAATAACACTAATACTTTTTTTATAAGCACTCAAACCCTATTTCCCTGATTTTCCATCTCTTGATCTTTCTGCTGTCTCACTGCTAACTTTCTAAATGACCTAATTAATGAGGGGAAGCAATGAGAAGGTGATGAGATATAGGTTCTGCTGCCTCTCCTCCCGAGCTGAGCTGTTGTTCGAGAAAAACCAAGAGCTTGGAGACAACTATTTCTCCTGCTACACTGACGAGGGCTGATCACACTGGTTGGCAGAGTAAAAAAAAGGGGATTTTCAGAGGTATAATTTTTATAAGACAAAGAGGATCTATGTACTCAGAAGTACTCGAGTCCACAATCTCATCAATTTCTTAGAAAAGTGCAAAGTCCTAAAATTGAGAGTCATTATCTGGTCAGGGCAAATACCTTATTTTTTCAGAATAAGGCTTATGGCTAAGTCAGTATCTAAATAATAGATTTAAAACATAAAATTTAAATAAATAAATACCTAAACTAAAAAAGAAAAAGGTTGAAGAACTGGTACTAAATACTTGTACTGGAGTCTTCCCATTGCCACAACCTATTTAAAAATTCCAAATTAAAAAAAAATTTCAAATTAACTTTGTAACTTAATTTTTTTAAAGGAGTTGGAGAGCTAGTACAATAGTTAGGATTATTATTGTGTTAAATGTGGCACACCCAGCCTTAGTCCCTACCACCCCATTCAGGAGTTACCCCCCTGAATACAGTCAGGAGTAAGCCTTGAGCACTGCCAGGTTGACCCTGAAACCAAAAAATAATAGTAATAATTTTTCCCTGGAAAATCTTAAAAAAAAAACAGATTTTTAATTATGGTTTTTATTATTTTTTATTATGTTTTTTATTTTTTTAACATACCAGGAAAGTGGTATGTTATAGAGTCCAACTCTTTTGAAAGTCTATTCTATTTATTGAGTATTTGCTTTTTAATACTTCACGAATTTAAATTGTCTTCTCATACCAAAGCAATTTAGCATCCTATCTACCAGTTTTTTACAATTATATTCCCTAAGTAACATCCTTTTCTTTGAATACCTATTTTTCAATACTTTCCAAATTTCTAGGAAAAGAAATTTTCCAGGTTTAATTACCAAATTTATGCTTCTCCCCCAGTTACTTTCATTGACTTTTAGCTTTTATTGAGACTGTGCTGTTTAGGAAACATTGAAAGTTGTAGTATATTTCCTAGTCCATACAAATATGGCATTAAAATCTATATATTAAAACAAACTATTGTTTGAATTATAATGGGAACATGTACCAATTCTAGAGCAGAGTTTATCATGTGTTAGAAAAGGAGTCCTAATCACTTTTGTATTATGAATTTTCCTGAATAAGAATACATGGTAAGTTATAGCTACATTTTAAAACAAATTCATAAATTAAGAGAACTTAATTTCTCCCCAGTCATTATTGCAACTGAAGTCAATTACTTATTGAAACAAAAGCAAAATTTCTAGGCAAAGTAACAGTGCTCTTATCAACCATTTTAATAGCAGTTGAAAAGTGCTAAAATCAGTGTGCTAGAAATCAGAGTTTAGATTGTAAAAGAGGATATGACAATCAATACCAAATCTGTGCCAATCAGTACCAAATCACTTTATTTAAAAATATCAAATGAAAATAAAACCCAAGACCAGTTATACCCCGAAAAAACCACCCCCAAAACTAATAACCATATCTAATTTGTGTTATCTTTACTCCTAAATAATTACAGATCTCTGTTTTTAAAGGCATACTCTACATTAGAATAGAATTTGAAATAAAAATCTGCATAAAATTAAGCCCCAGTGGTTGTAGGATAATAGGAATACCATCCTAGAGCAAAGGCAAAACTTTCTTGTAAAAGTTCAGTTAAGACTGTTCCAAGTCTCATTTTACTATTACCTGTGCTTCTGAATGTGGCCTCAACTCACTCTTTAGTAACTACATGTGGAAAGAAAAGAGCTTTTATATAACTAGAGGAAAATGCGACTACAAAATGGTTTAATGCATGGATATAAGATATATATTGGGAGATCATTCCTGTTCACAAATCAACCCTGCTTTTTGTTTTACTGTTTGGATTCAAGTAATTTTACTTATATGCTTACGATGAATTAGCTAGTAGAGGTACAAAAGCAGACTTACCTTCACAGTTTCCAAGTCTCCGGCTTTAGAAGCCTCTAAAAGTCGATAGTCGACATCCGAAGTGCGCATAGGTGTACTTTCTACAGTGAAAAAAGGGAAGGTTTTTTTTTTTTCTTTTCCTTATTTATTTACTTTTTTTGGTAGAACTAGAGTAGTAAAGGGAAGTAAATTACGTGGGAAACTGAAAGAGAATGAGTAGTCAGAGATTTCTGATATCTAGGCCTTTTCTCAGATTCTGGGTAATTCAATCCTTTCCAGCTAAATTAAATAAGTGGTTTCTTATTTCAACCTACATGCATTTCATTCTAAGTCATACTTAAATAAATTCTAAGACAAAAAGATTCTTTTCCAACCCTGATAATCTATTCTTCCAAGTCTGGGGCCATAATTTGGTAGGGAAAAGTGAAAAAACAGAACCAAGAATATCTCTGGAATATACCGATTTCCCCAAGTGGTATAGCAAAATTGTGCCAATTTTGTTATGTGAACTTAGGGAAGCCATCCAACTTTCAGTGCTGAGTGACTAAGTGCCCTATCCTTAACATGATGCAGATGTACTATTTCCAAAATCAGTGATCATGCAAAATCTAATCTGCACCAAAAAAGATCTATTAACTACAGAAATTAGTTTAATTCATTGAACTGTTTCAGAGAAGTGCAATTTAAAATGTGTATCACTGGAAGATGTGACACAAATGCTAAAGAGAATGTGGTTAAATAGGATTGTTAGTGCAAGTAGTATGAGACTAACAAACAAGGTATTTTGATGAGTCCAACATTAAAAGATCAAAAATTCATTATACTTTGGCAGAAAGGAAAACACAAAGGAAAACTGTAATGTATCACTCGGAGGATGTCCAGTGATGTCCACTGACATTGTGTGTGGCTTTTATAATGCACATGTACATACACGGGTGAGTATTTAGACTGAACTCTATTTAAACTGTGATTTTTAGACACATCAATTAATGGTTTAACTTTTGCACCTCCAAAGTTAGTGCTAGTTTCCTTTAGGAAAGAGTTCAGGTTTAGGTTGCAAATCCTATGATCAGAAACACCTTTTTGGGTGTATTATCCAAAATGGCAGACCAAGATTTTAGACTGATCTAAATATAATCTGGTTTGGAGTGATATTACAGTGGGTAGGGCAACTACCTTGCAGTGGCCAACAAGGGGTTTGATCCATGGCGTCCTTTATGATCCTCCAAGCCCTCCAAGATTGATCCCTGAGCTCAGAGTCAGGTAAGCCCTAAGTATTGCTGGGTGTGGTTCAAACACACAAATACACACACACACACACACACACACACACACGATTTTTAAAAGAAAGACTTCACCTCTTATCAGAAGTCACCAAAAATAAACTGCATTTATTTGGTTACAATAAGTATGTAGAAAATCAAATGCTAAGAAAAGGGGGAAAAGAGTGCTTTATGTAATGAAAGACATTTTAAAAAGACCAACAGGTTGGGACAAGAATTAGGATAGCGGGTCAAGAAATTGCCTTGTGCAAGGTCAGCCTGGGTTCGCACCCCAGCAGTCCATGGGATTCTGCAATCCTCACCAGGAGTGACCCCTGAGCAAAGCCAGGAGTAAGCTCTGAAAACTGACTGGGACAGCTCAAAACAAACAAAAATAAATCAACAGGACCTGGAGGAATAGTACAGGTTAAGGTGCTTACCTGCTTGCAGCCAACACCAGTTTGGTCCCTGGCATCACATATGGTCTTTTGAACACCACCGAAGGTAACTCCTGAGTCAGGAGTAAGCCCTAAGCACAGCAGGGTGTACACATCCCCATCAACAATTGGGCTGGACAGGCAGTGCAGATGGCAAAGTGCTTGCCTTGCATGCAGCCCATCTGTGTGATTCCTGGGCCCCTAGGCAGCTTCAGGGATCACTCCTGTGCACACACCATGAACAGCTCCTGAGCAGCACATACTGAGCTAACCTGCCACTTTTGTGATGCTTATCTAGCTCCACCAAAAAAGAATGGTGAGGAGGGCCCTGAACCATAGCATAGTGGGTGGGGCATTTGCCTTGCATGCAGTTGACCCAGGTTCTATCCCTGGTATACCATATGGTACTCCAAGCACCACCAGGAGTAATTCCTGAGTACAGAGGTAGGGTGACCCCTGAGCATAGCCAGATGTGATCCAAAAAGACAAAAAGAAAAAAGAATGATGGGGAGGACCACAGACTGAAGAGCCAGGAAGAAAACATAGGGGGGAAGAAAAAGACAGAACATACTGAGGCAGAGAAAATATTGCAAAAGCAAGTGGACAAAATTCTGTGTGTGTACGGATGAGCATGGAAGGGGAAGGGTAGAACTCACCACTCAGAATCTGCTGTACTGCTTCATTTCCCATCTGTGCCGCTGTAAAGCCTTGCAAAGAGATGATGGAGGGATCCGAGCCGTAGCTCAGGAGAAGGCGGCAGGTCTGCAGGTGACCTGCAAGGGCTGCTCTATGCAAAGCAGTCTGACCAAGGGTGTCCAGTGCATTCATCTGAAAAACCAGAGACAGAGGCAAGGAAATGAGCACTTAGTTTGTTCTTTTTCACACTGTAGCAAATATTCTTTTTGTTTGTTTATTGGGGAGAAAGAACACTTGCTATGTTCAGGGCTTACTCCTGGTTCTGTTCTCAGGTATCACTCCTAGCAGTGCTTAGGGAACTATGTGTGGTGACTGGGGTTGGCCATCTAAAAGACCAGCATCTTTTTTTTTTTTTAAGAGTGCAATAATGAGAATTTTATTTTAGAGTCATGGAAAGATACTTTGTTCTTGTCTACCCAGGGGTCCAAGAACCACTCCCTGTGATTGTCAATTGAATGTTATAGCTGACGTTGAGATCCCGGGGAAGTGGTGATGCTCAGGCCTGCAGTGCTCAGGATTTCCAGGCCACAACTTAGTGCATGAGGGGAAGACCAGCATCTTAACCCCTGTATAATCTCTCAAGTCACAGCAAAATGAGATGAGAAATAAAAACCAGCGAATTACTTTGAAAGAAATACCACATGCAACTAACTTTTGCTTGGTGGTACTGAAGACTCATTAAAACAACAACAACAACAACAACAACAAAAAACCTTTCTCTGACCAATGAACTGAAAATGACAATATACCCATCCTTTTCCTAAATAACAATCTTTTTATCCACAACTCCCCTCACATCTTCCACTTTCCTCAATAAGTAGAATGGAAAATCTCTGTGGACTGGGATTCTTTTTTGTTCGTTTGTGCCACAACTGGTGATGCTCAGGGGTTACTCCTGGCTCTGCACTCAGGAATCACTCCCGGTGGTGCTCAGGGAACCATATGGGATGTCAGGGATTGAACCTGGGTCAGCCACATGTAAGGCAAGTGCCCTACCTGCTGTATTGTTGTTCCTGCCCACAGACTGGGATTCTTTTTTTTTTTTTAATTTTTTCCCTTTATTTTATTTTTTTTTTACCGTTGTAGATTTACAATTTTTTGTTTGTGCTTGGGTTTCAATTATACAATGATCAGATACCCATCCCTCCACCAGTGCCCATTTTCCACCACCATGGATAATATCCCTCCCACCCCCATCCCCCCATCCCCCGGTCTCTGTGGCAGCGCAATCCCCTGTGTTCTCTCTCTCCTTTTGGGTGTTGTGGTCTGCAAAAGAGGCATTGAGTGGCAAACATGTTCAGTCCATACAGACTGGGATTCTTATGTTGACTGCTTACCACATTAAAAGTACATTTTAAATACTTTAGGATGAAAGTATTTATTAAACCTACTCCTAGAGTATCAAGACAACAAAACATGTAAACAAAGAGCAGTCAATGGTATTTATTTTCTAAATTTTGGTAAATATCTAATTACAAGAAAACCTAAATAAATTATATGAATATTTAACAACCAAAAAGTGATTTCAACACTCAATTTTCCACTTTTACGAATCTGAAGAGTTATAAAGAAAACTTCCTATTTTATTTGTCAATAACCTCAATGTCCTAATTCTGTTCACTTTTAAAAAAATCACTTAGTCATGAGACAGAGTTCTCTAAGAAGTGGTCAGTCTAATATTCCCGCATATATAGTCTGAAGTGGTTCAAAGCATTTAAGTCCAAAATGTGTTTGCATTCTAAAGTAAGTGATAGGTTTCTTTTTAAGAGGGTGGCAGTAGCTATTTTATATAACTATAAATCAATCCTCATACCCTGAACTTTGGAATGGGTAATCTGTCAGAGTTTGTAATTTTGTTCTAATTCAGTTTCACAGTAAAGAAGATTGATATTTTGGAGCTAACAATTTTCATTGTGATCTCTGAATATGAGGGAACTTTAAATGTTCAAGGGAAGTTCTCATAAGTTTTGGACTTACTAATCTATACTATTCTTTAAGTAATATAAGTGGCAAATGATGGTAATTCACTCTATTGATAGAGACATTTGGAGGAATGAAATAACCTGTGCACATTATCCACAAAATCAATACTGGAAGCACACAAAGGAACTATCTAAAGTACAAAATATAGACCAAGTGCTGAAATTTTTTTTTTTTTGCTTTTTTTTTTAAGATCACACCCGGAGATGCACTGGAGTTACTCCTGGTTCATGCGCTCAGGAATCTCTCCTGGCGGTGCTCGGGGGACCATATGGGATGCTGGGAATCGAACCTGGGTCTGCCGCATGCAAGGCAAACGCCCTACCTGCTGTGCTATTGCTCCAGCCCCAAGTGCTGAAATATTTTAACTGATGCTGTTTTAGCTCTCTTGGCTTTGATAATTTTGACTCATAAGTTGACAATTTTTCTCTCAGGCTCAAAACTTAGGCTTAACAACATTTGACGTACTTTTGTATAAGGACAAAATTCTTAAAAACAACAACGAAAAACCAACAGACCCCAGATAGCTAAGAAATACAGTCTAACAATATATTCTAACATTCGAGCTGAGGAGAATAACTAGAAGGTGAACACCCAGAAGAGTTTTTCTATAACCTTTCAAATTAAATAAGTACACATATATACACATGTTTTGCTATACATAATTTGTTCCTAAAAGAAAAACATTATTTTTATATATTAGCATTCATTTATTCTTTATATTTTAAAGAGATATTACTTTAATTTCTAATATATATTATCTGAAATACATATTAACAACATATATGTTTACTGAAGAAATTTGGGTTAGAATGTCTCTTTTAAACCCAGTTCTCTAATTTCCTCCCCTCTTATAATCCATTTCACAAGGATAAGATAGAGTGCTATAAAAAGTACAGACACTGCCTCAAATAAGAAAAATGCTTTAGACTTAATGTGTTAAGCCTACACTGTGATAGTCATGACTGGCCTAAGATATATATTTAAAGGTATGAGATGAGTAACAAATGTCTTGGCAGTTCAAGAGATAAAGCATAGTGCCCCTTTTTACTTTGTTTCCTACAGATAATAACCTTAAGCACCTACAAAGTGATTATGATTTTCTTTTAGGGCAACTGGACATGATATAAAACCACAAGATATTATATTTCAGGCATTTGATGTGAGTTGTATAGGGCTATACAATTATGATTCAAAGTTGCGGAAAGTCCAGAAGCCAGCAAGAGGGCTATATGGAAATTACTTAATGGAATCTTTATATATGCTAATTAGGGAAAATAGTCTAGTCACAAAAAACCAACCGAGGAAGCATTTTTCTCTTAAATTTATGACTACCAATGCTCATATTACTCATTTTGTACTTCAATCATGAGCTACTCAACGAAATTTTGGCATTAAGCATTTATTGTTAACCCATATTTAATTTCAACTGTGAACATGCATAGGTTCAAACTCTGTATTTCTTTAGTTCCCATGACCTTTTCTGAAATCTGGATACTTTGAAAGTGAAAACAAATAAAAAAAAAACCAACATCAATTGTTTTTTTGTTTTATTTTGTTTTTGGTCATTAATCAAATAATAAAGGGACGAAAGATGTGGATCTGAGACAAGTCACTCGTAGATGAAACAGAGCCTGAAGAACAGAATGCAGACATATAAAAACTGTTTTAACAGTAAGAAACATTATACTGATATGCCTCTTTAAAAGATCTTATTCAAAAGATTAATATTTTGGAAGACTATTAAATGACTGTACCAGCTAAAATATGGTATCATTACCATTTTATCTATTATCTATCTAATATACAGGTTTCAGTTTCTGTAATTATCTAAGAAAGTTACATCTACTAGGATGTAATATCTTCCTACATTCCTACAATGTTACTATCTTCCTGAAACAGGATTCTGCTTATGCCATCTGCCTATTTAAAATTCCACAATGGCCCTCTAAATCTAAGAATACAATTAAAATTCTCCAACTAAAACTAACAAGATCTAGTTTCAGCACATATTCTCAGATTTTCATAATACCTCTTGTGTTTATCTTTCTGAATCATTACCATCGCTGTTTAATAAAAAGCTCCTTTGTTGACAAACCTTTAGCTTGAGAGACTATTTAAATGTTTGATCATTATACCTACTTCCATAAATCTAACATCTGTATATAGATACCTAAAATTCTATTTTCTTCATAAAATTAAAAATAATCAAAAAGTACTTGAGACAGAAAAACAGAGTAACAAAATTTATGGGATGTAGCAAAAGTAGTACAAAGAGGGAAGTTCACAACTATAAATGCTTACCATCAAATAAAGAACAATCTAAAAGAAACATCCTAATTTTATATCTCACAGAAATAAAAGGAAAAAAATCAAGTAAAAAATTAGTACAAGAAAGGAAATAACTAAGATCAGAAGTAAATCAATTGGACAGAAGCTAAAAAGATAACGAAAATATCAATGGAACTAGGAATTGGTTCCATTCTACAATTTTCTGGGTTGTTATAAATGTAAATAAAATGGACAAGTCTTTAGCTAGATTCACCATGAGCAAAAAATAAAAAGGAACCAGAAAGAACCAGAGATACGAGATATGACAACTGATACTACAGAAACAGAATCATAAGAAACTATTATTGATATGTCAACAAATTTGGAATGGTTAAGTTCCTAAAAATATACAAATTAATTAGTCTGAAGAAATAAAAAAACTAAGCAATTAGAAGATGAAATTATAATAAAAAACTTCCCAACAAAAGTCCAAGACCAAATAGCTATACCAAAAATTCTGAAGGATAGCAACAATCCTTTTCAAACTCTCTCTACATACAGAACAGAAGGGTATTTCCAAACTCCTAAGTTCATCATTACCCTGACACCAAAATCAGACACTAAATTAAAGAAAATTATTGATCAATAACCTTGATGAACATAGATATAAAAGTCGTAAAACACTGTTCATCAACTGAATTCAACAATACATTAAAAAAATCAGGCATCATCACCAAAGATCATTATTAGGATATTTTTAAAGACAGGATCTTCTTTAAATACAAACTTTACATACAACCCACAGTAAAACTATGAGTTGCAAAAGCAGGTATTCAAAAATGGCTGGTAAATGAATGGTAAGAGTAATAAGGTTGCGAAAT